TGCTCGGAGCTGAATTTGTATTTTATATTGATGATTATTTTTTCGTTCTCCACAAAATTTATTAAATATCACATTTCAATTTTTTTTAATTACGTGCTAGAAGTTTTGATTCAAGATTATAGGAAACAAGAAGAATAAAAAGTTATGCCAGTTTTTTTTTTTAATTTGGAGAAGAAAAAATTATGCAAGTTTATTTTTTTATTTGGAATAGAGAATTGGCTTTTACTTGATCCTTAAAAGAAGGAAGAAAAGAAATGAAACTAATGATACTAGATGTGCTAAAATTTTATATAAGGGTATTATTGATAATTGAAAAAATTTTACTCTTTAAATAACGAAAGAGCTTTGTATTTATCAATTGCCATATATTCTAGTAATTTATGTACTATATATTTGATTGTTTCTTAAATTGTGTGTAAATTTTCTAATAACACTTATTTTTTAATAGAGATAGCATTATTTTTTTTTTGTCTGTTGTTTTAGCGTTTGTGCGAGTATTAAAAAAGAGGTTGAAATTGACCACAAAGAAACTGTCTTGGTGTGTAATAGTTAGTTTTTATTAGTTGTTTGCACTGAAGAACTGTATATAATTGAATATTTTTTCAAAGGTAGTATCAATATTTATTCAATAAAGAGATACACTAGTTAAAAAGACACAACTACCTGAAATTTTGAAGAGTGAAGCATAGGTTTTTTTTTTGTTTAACTTCCTAGTTAAAAATACAAAACTAATCACCTCAAGTTATTTTACTACATGACGTTATTCTTTTTTTTAATTATTCTTTTCTTTTAATATCACAATGGTGTATCTCCAGTAATCTATACCGCATTATGATTAATAATATCAACATCATCTATAATTAGAGGTTATCATGGTTGTTATCGATGTAAATAGAGCGGTATAAGTATGTTACTCCATCCATTTCAAAATATATATGTCGTTAGAGAAAAAACTAATTTTTTCAAAATATATGTCGTTTTCACTAAATGAGCCATGTTTTGTCAATTTTTTTCAATATCGCCCTTACATGTGTGTTGTTGTATTAGAACTAAATATTATTAGAATTAGAATTATATTGAAATTAAATGAGAGCAATTTAATATTTTAACAAGGTATTTAATACTTCCTTAAACGTTATGAAATCTCTCTAACAATTTATATTTTGGAATAGACGGAGTCCAAGCTAAACTATTAGTTACTATTGCCATCAGATATGTTTATGTTACTCAAATTATGATAATTTGACAGACATAATAACATTAAACTAGATATAGTTTACTTTAATGTTATCAGTGCAACAAAGGAAGTAAAAAAATCAAACACTAAAGTTACACACCCTTGTAAGAAATTTGAGACGCTTGAATGTGATGATATATTTCATTTTTATTTATTTTTTTACTAAAAATGATAAACGACGCAAGATCTCTTGTTATTAGCTTCAAAAATCTAAAATTTATAATAGAATTCTATTATCATTCCCTACAAAAACAAAAAAAAAGACTTCTACTATGATAAAAGTACATTGAACACTGAAAATTTAGTCTTTAGATAAATAGTGAAAAATTTCAAAATTAATAATTTTGAAGCTAAACGGTTCAAAAGTTAGACCAATAGTGTATTGTTTGTTTTGCTTCCTCCAGCTTCAAATGGGAAAAAGACCATTGGTTACGATTCGCTACGACCAATGATGTCAAAGGGTCAAAGCATCAATTATAAATATTAAAAGCTCGTACTTATATGAGTACATAATATTTTACACGTAATTGTGTAAGAATTGAACCGTCAATCATTGCGGTACGGACAAGTTATCCATATTGGATAAGGTGGGCGTCAAAACCTCAAAGCTCAAAGGCTACTACAGAAATTTTATTTAATTATTTATTTTAAGAAATACTATCAATCAAGTGAACGTGAATATTGTGTTTGCCTGCCGTGGCGGCACGGGTTATACACTCGAGGACCGAGGTAGCTGAGAGATTGCACAAATAAAAATCTGAAAATATAACTACATACTTCTTCTGTTCCAAAATTATTATCCAATTTGAAATTTTACTTTTAGTACAATTTGAACTAAAATTAAAATCAAACTGGATAATAATTATGAAACGGAGGGAGTATTAATCTGTAAGGATGGCATGGTAGTTTTGAAGATATGAGGTTTTTTTTTTTGTAATAGAAGATATGAGGTTCAGTTGGAGATTATACCCACAAACAAAAATAATAATATTGTCAGCAAATATGCAAAATAATAAATAAATAAAAAAAAAACTCATATATACTGTAGTAATACAATTCCCTCGCGAAAGTTGTCTACATTTCTTTGTATTATTTTGAATTAAATTATTTTCTTAAATAAATAAGACAGTATTTCATAAAATGGAAATTTTGATTTGAAAATAGAGAATACAAAAAATTGAGTTTCAAAAAATTGACCCTTGCAAGTGATATTTGCATTTCCTCTTTTCTACAAAAATAATTCGCATTATAAATTAAACTTTATACTATTTTTAGTAAAATTTGTAATTTACAATGTACATTGATTTAGGAATAGAAGTAATATGATGATATTAGTATTGTTATTATACTCACATGAATCACGTTTCTATTTTAATATTTCATTATATTTTATGTAGATTATTTCAATGAAATGAAAAAAGTATAATTTTTCTCTAACAGCCACAACATAATCAAAGGTAATGCAGTAGTGTTTTTCCATAATTTATTAAGTGACTTCTTACTAGGGGTGATAATGTAATAATAACTGTGACAGGACAGTGTATGTATACATAAGATCTTTTCGTCTCATAATCGCATTGTTGGCAGCCAGGAATAAAGACAAACTGATCAAGCTTGCATCTGGGTTTGCCTATTCTCTTCTATTTTTTTCAGTGAATTCCAAATTTTTAACTTTTATAAATATCTCATTTTGTGTTGGTTAGTCTGAGTTAGGGTGAAAGATGTTTCTACGTTTAAAGAGAAAATACATTTAAACTGAAAATAAATATTTTAAACAAAGAAATTTTTTTCTTTTTTTGGAGAAGATAAAGCACTAATAAAGAATATTTCATCTTGAGCTGCACATCTTTTCTAAAACATGTACTAGAGTTAAAGAACTTTTTAGCCACCAAATTCACAAACCATAACGTTTGGAGTTCAAAAAATTTAAATAAAAAGACTAGTCCAAAAAATTGTCAACCATTAAATCACCATCAAAAAGGGAAAAAAAAAGTTTAAATCAATTCTTTATAGTTACACATTCAGAAAAAAAGAATATTTCTTTTCTAATAGAAAAAAATAGTGTGTCAACCTGAAAGTTCTGAAGCCAAAGTAAATTCGAAAATAAAGCCACAATAGTATAATAGCCCCTGCACCGTCCGAGTGACTTAATAGCACCGAACGTACAGCAGCAGCAGCACAGCACCCCATCCATAAATCTCTATCTCATCAGAAACCGTGCTCAATACTTCCACCTTGCAAAAAAGTGACCAATTTTTTTACTTCTCTCAGCCATGCCCTTTACTTCCCTCCTTTACCCCCTCACACCGCATGATAAATCTAATCGAATGCTCAAAAAGGAAAAGAACACGTTTCAAAGTGATTGAACCGTTAATACAATACACAAAACAAAAAATAAAAGAATACGTTTCAAAATGATTGAGCCGTTAGTATAATAAACGAGACAATTCTTTAGACAATCCTTTTAGAACGGAATGAATAACGGATAGAAAAAAAAATACGTTTCAAAATGATTGACAATAAACAAGACAATTTTTTTAGAACGGAAAGAAATAACTTGTAAAAGAAAAAAAAAACGGGTCCTAACTTCTGAGCCTGGATTGGATAGACATGTAATGTTGATCACGTGTTTAGGCCACCTTTTTTTTTTACGTTCCAAAATACAGTTAATCTTTTTTTGGTTTGTATTTGACCGTAATACGTTGAAGATGAGGTTAGGTGTGGGATCCGACCTGTAAATAATAATAATTACGATTTAATTAACGTACTATAATATGTGAAGAGAAAATAATTTATATAACGGGTCATACGTGGTTTACCCGCAAAAGTTGTAAGCAAAATCAGCTGAATATATTTGCTCATCACTCTCACTTGAAAAAAAAAAAGTCTCAAAACTGAAAAAGAGAGAACGCCTCCTTTCCTGGTCCCCCCATCCCTTTCCGAACTTTCTCCTCTACGAAATACTCCACAGAAGAAACAAACACTCGACTCAGTTCTGAGTTTTCCTGTTGTTTTTCTCGCCGCCCACAGCCTTTCTTTTAGATCTCCGGCGACGACTCAGGTCTCCGGTTAGTTTATTTATCTAACTCCAAAATAATTCCTCAACCCCCCATTTCACTATCAGACTTCAGTTCTATGTATCCAGCTCTGATTGAATAAACTATTCAGTATTCACTCTTCTTGATTCTTAAACGTGAGTGAATTTTTTTAAATTTTATTTAGTAATTTGGGGACTGGTTTTATTTCCCTTCTGCTGTTAATTCCGGTGCCGGATCTGTTTAACTGAAATGATTTCCCAATCAAATGTTACTCACATTCTTCTCTTTTCATTTTTAATTAACGTTAATTAAACAACCACATTAATCAAAGCTTCTTTTAAAGAAAATGTTCAGAAAGTTCTTGATTGTATGTAACCGTCTTTTTCTTGTTAGAGTTAATTGAAACCTTTGTTTGGACCGATTAAGGGAAATGGTGGTCTGCATGAGCATGTCAGAAATTTGTTTCTGTGTTTATCCCCCTTTTTTCCCCTTTTTTTTTGTATATTTTATTAACACCCCACCCGTGTCTTATGTCTGTGCTTTATCTTATATGCTGACAAGAAAATCCTAAAATTCACTAAGAAATATCACAAGTGGGCACTAAAAAGTTTTAATTTTTGGGCATTTTCAGAGATCAAGCTTGCTATTTGATGAATCATTTCAAGATCAATTGCTAACGAGAACGTAGATAAAGAGCAAAATCTTACTGGGTTTTGCTAGGCGGAATGGACGAGAGCTTTCCGAAATCAGGAGGCCAACCCCATCGGATTGAGGCTTCTTGGGTTCCATCCACTCCTGCTAAGCCTGCTCTAGGAAAAGAGGAGCTAATCCATGCAGAAAAGCAACCACAACAGTCAGACAACCGTTCACAGCAAAGCCAGTCGGCCCCAGGAAATGTGCCGCCGGAAAGGACAGCCGCCGGCTATGGGGAAAGCAATAGAGCAGTCAGTGAGCCTGCAGAGTCTCAATCTTATGAAGACGCCATGAACCAATTTGATCAAATGAGCCAGTTCAGCCAATTGTTGGAGTTTGTTATCAGAGGTGGCACCATCCAGGGCTCTTACATTGACACAATGTGCCAAAATTCCTCCTCAATTCAGAGCCAGAGCCAGAGCCAGTTGCTCGAACCCACTCTTCAAGCTGTTTCCCAGACACCACATAGTAAGTTAAACCCTGCATTTCATAGCTAATTAGACTATAAGCGAAATGGTGTTGCAAATTGATGAAATTTGATAAACTAATCAACACAGCAAACTTTAAATGTATTGAACTGTCTGTTGAATTATAGCTAAGAAGGTTTGTGCAGGATTGGTGTAACTGCTTCCATCAATTAATCGCCATGCTTTTTTTGCTGTAAATTTCATCAAAAGCTGTATTCAAAAACGAAGAAAACTTTGGTAGGAAGAAAAGCCAAAACCTGAAAATAGTTCTGCTAAACTTCCAGTTTTTGTGAATTCTCAGTCGCCAAGTAGAGAATTATTATTAAATTTTAATGTCCGCCCTTGGAAGAATGAATGGAGGAAAGATAGATTGTCCCGTCTAATTGTTGTAGCCCCTGGACTTGGTCTTTACAGTGTTAATTTCTATTCAGCTAATGAAATTTCCTATACAGGTGCAAATGCGACGTGGTCTCCATTCCCATTTGATCTTAATACTCCCCTCAGTGCAATGGCTGATGCATCAGGCTTACCTATTCTACCATCAGTGTCAGCTATCTCATCCCAGTTTGAACCTGTGACACCAGATCAGATTAAGAAAGCTGACAAAGTTTCCTCATCAAACTTGTGTGCGGCCCAGGCAGCAGAAATAGGAGTACAGAAGGAAGTTTCTGAATTATCAGCGCTCCAGAATAATCAGTCTGTGTTGGTTGAGAATCAAAATTCTACTACCATCTCCACCGTAACCGGGGAGAATTTCGAGCCTGAAATGGCTATTGAAGAACAGACGGATCTGAGCAAAACACCAGTGAAAAAGCCAAGGAAGAAAAAGCACAGGCCTAAAGTAATTGTAGAAGGCCAATCCAGAAAACCCTATAAGCCAAGAACGCCAAAACCAAACAACCCCAAGGAAGGTGTAAAACCTAAAAGAAAGTATGTTAGGAAAAGTCCAGTAGGTAAACCTGTGGATGATGTGCCTTCAGAAGGCAAAACAAATGAAGCAGCAGAGGAAGCAAAACCTCTGGATTCAGAAGATACGCCGAAAGGTAAGAGAAAGTATGAAAGAAAACAAAAGGTCGACCAACCCTCAACTCCCTATGAAGATGAAAACATGACCACAACTGATTCAAGTGCTGCTCCAATAACCAGAAGATCCTGCAAGAGATCGCTGAATTTTGATGTTGAAAGCCAAGTGCCTGGTGGGAGTTTCGGCCAGCCGCAATCAGATTTTACCATTCACAAGACATTTCAGGAGAATCAAGTATTACTTGAAAAGACAGAAGTAGCAAGTGTTGCTCATAATCTTACAGAGTCTGCAGATCATATGCTCAAAGACTCCCTGCTGGTCAAAGAAAGTCTGGCCTCTAGCACTTCAAGTTCTTGCTTGAGCAGCCAATTCATGTTTCTAAATCAGACTGAAGGCACAAGGGGAAAATGTCCAATCATTTTCTCAGATGTAACTCATGACAAACAGGAAATCACTTTTAAGACAATGGCTTCTGATGTTATTGCTGCAACAAGGAGTTCAAGCAACCCCAAAGGCACCATCGGCGGAGTCCTGAACCAAGAAACCGAAGTGAGGAAATCAAAGAGAAGGCGATCTTCAAGAACTGATTCTCTGGAGCCCCGCAACATAAACGCTTCTGGTGGCCATTACAATTCTTTGCAGGCGTACCAAGAAATAATTCCACCAAATCAGTACAGTAAAGAAGAAACTTCAAACTGGCAATTTCCAGCAATATTCAAGAAAAAGAGGAGTGAAACTATCTACAAGCCATCATCATCCAGCATTCGGCCAACATCCATTACAACCGACTATTATGCTAAATATAGCATGAACCATTTGGTTGCACCTCAGAGAAATTCTTTTCCATCAGATCCCGCAGTTGAGATCGACATAAGTACTTCTAAGTCTCTTCCAACGTTTGGGAATGCAGGAAGGATAACTAGAAAAAGATCTAAAAACATCACTAGGGTCAGGGATATGAAGTCCCTGCTTGAAACTTCAAGGCAACTGTCTGACTCCTATAATGGTTCTGGAACTTCTGCACAAAAACCTCAGACATGTATGGGAGCACTGGCAGACATTCGTGCAACTCTAGCAAGAAAGAAGCGTTCAAATAGGATTTTCATTTCATCTTCAACGTCCAATAACCATCGCCAGGCTGCAACAATATTAAGTGGTATTTGCACGTGTGCAAAACTAATTGCAATCAGAAAGATGAAATTTGTCATACAGTTTCTTACTTTAGTTTGATTTTTGCAGGTTATCCACCAGATATGATGCGGAAAGATACACTTACAGTTGATGCAATTGTTGAGAAATTGCAGTGCCTTAGCATACAAGAACAACAGAATGCACTGGTTACCTATCAAGAGCGTAATACTTGGCAAAATTCTATCGTGCTTTATCAAAACAATGGGGCCATGGTTCCTTTTGATGGTCCGTTTAATTATAGGAAGCGACGGCCACGGCCCAAAGTTGACCTGGATGAGGAGACAAACAGAGTGTGGAAGCTCTTACTGGAAAATATAAACAGTGAAGGCGTTGATGGGACAGATCAACAGAAGGCAAAATGGTGGGAAGATGAACGAGAAGTCTTCCGCCTGAGAACAGAATCTTTTATTGCTCGTATGCATCTCGTCCAAGGTATATATTGTCAAGATATTTCCAAGTTTATAATTGCTTTCTGTCTATTGAGTTGGACAACTTGCCTCAATTTTCACCTGAAACAATAACTGTTACATATAAGAACCTTAGAACTACTATTTAGTACACTACTTAGAACAGAGGTCAGAGGGTAATCAGCAAGATACTTCTTTTTTATTTTTTGGAATACCCCAGTAATGTATTGAACCCCAGACCTCATGTAATAACACACTCCACCCTTACCACCCCAACCAACCTTCCAACCCAATCTGCTAGATGCTTTAGCATACAAATTTGCTTCCTTTCTATAATAGCATACCATGCATGAAAGAAATAGAGACCTTTGAGGTGAGGATGGTAAGAAAGTCGAGCACAAAGTCAAAGATAAAATTGGAAATTAGGAGGACCAGTAACTTTGATTTTTGAAAAGAAAAAATCCATTACAAGATACTTACAGAATTCATGTATGCAAGAAGTCACCTTATAAATAAATCCAATTGATCACGCCGTGTTGAATGTGGTTTGTAGAATCGAAACAAATAGCTTAATGTGTTTTATTGTGGTTGTTGGACAAGCAAAAAAGGACTGCGTTGTGAAATACACATTACCAGCTTGCTAATTCTTCCTTTTACAGGAGATCGACGTTTTACTCCATGGAAGGGATCAGTTGTGGACTCTGTAGTTGGAGTTTTCCTTACCCAGAACGTGTCTGATCACCTTTCAAGGTTTGTTACATTCAGCAACATGGTATAAGATATTCTAGTTGCACTAGCTCACATATCTTTGTGCAAATCATTGCAGTTCTGCCTTCATCTCAATGGCTGCTAAGTTTCCTCTGAAGTCAACGAACCACTACCCCAGTGCACAATTGTCCGAAGAGAGATCAGAGCAATCAGAAGTGTATAATCCAAATGATATTTCTGAATGGGACGGGAAGGTGTCAAACCCACTTCCAGGTGATAATGGTTTTATGACATCGTGCGACAAGAAATACAATGAAGAAGAGATCACCACCAGGATTACATATGGAAGCACATCTGAAGGCACCAAGAAAATGCATTCAATCTTTCTGAATTCATCTGCTTCAGACTCTGGTCCAAAGCTGGACAATGAACCTGATGTCAGTAGGTTTGGTTCTCAGAACAATGAGATGCTGGCAAGCTTGAATGGAGACCAGAAAGAACTCGATGATGTGATCTCTTCTCAGAATTCAGTAGTTTCTCCTCACAATTCTGCAGAATCAATTGGTCAATCAGCAATCAGGGGTGAATCGTGCTCACAAAGCTCCACAGAAGCAGAACCAACAGATGCAGCTTCTGGATGTACCTCTTTCCTGGAACTGCTGCAGGTGGCAGGAACAATCTCACAGAGAGTTTATAATCAAGAATTCCAAAAGAAAACATCTTATTTTGGAGGCATGACCTACAATTTCAAAAAAAGATATCAATAGCTATGAAATTTCTTCATTCAGTTTTTCATTGTTCTAACTCTAGTGTCATGCATACAGGTGTCAATCATGAATGTCAACAAATCAATCTGTCCCAAGACAGTGGATTCATCAACATCTCTAAGGAAAACGACCTCCCTGTAACTGAACAAAGTGGATTTTCGCCAGAATCTTCTGCAGGAACTTCATCTCAAGATTCTCTTTCTCACGACAACCATCAAATCCCAAATGAGGATAGAGGACATGAATTTCTATCAAAGGTTCAGAAACAAGAAGTCCACATAATATATGAAGGATCAAATGCCCCAAGCTCCTCAGAGAGTGAGCTTGATAACTCAGGTAAAAAACCCAGAGTTGAGCGAGGATATAATCAAAAGGCTGCTGCGTCAAATTTGACAGATTCTAGTAATCTTATGGATGAAGCGGCCAAGATTAACCCCAGTGCCTCCACAGCAAAAAAAAGGAAAGCAAATGGAAAAGAGAATAATGACACTGTCGATTGGGATCAGTTGAGAAAACTGGCACAGGCAAATGGTAAAAGAGAGAGGACAGTCGAGACAATGGACTCCGTGGACTGGGAAGCAGTAAGATGTGCAGATGTTGATGAGATTGCTCAAACCATCAAAGAAAGGGGAATGAATAATATGTTAGCGGCTAGGATCAAGGTAAGAAATATACTAATTTTAATACAACATCTTTTTCAATAAGTTTCTAAGGTAAGAAACTTTGCATTTATTATCACAGCTGTAAGTCACATGCATCTTTGTCATATACTTTGCACTAATCTCAGTAAAATAGATAATGGAAAGAAAACTTGTGCAGGACTTCCTAAACAGGATAGTAAGAGAGTATGAAAGCATTGATCTAGAGTGGCTAAGGGACATCCCACCTGATCGGGCCAAGTATGTGTCGCATTTTGGTTTGAATAAACAATATCTAGTTACTGCTACTTTAACTGAGTTATCTTTAAATGACAGAGAATTCCTGTTAAGCATAAGGGGTTTGGGTCTGAAAAGCGTGGAATGTGTGCGGCTTCTGACATTACACCATCTCGCTTTCCCAGTAAGATATTCCTAACCAAGACCATTTTTAAGTTAGTTAAGAAAGATGTTATCGCTACCACTGAATCTGTATTCTTAAAACTAGGTTGACACAAATGTTGGACGCATAGCTGTAAGACTTGGATGGGTACCACTCCAGCCACTGCCTGAGTCACTTCAGTTGCATCTTCTAGAACTGTGAGTTTTGAGGTCTTGGTACTTATTGTAAACTGTTTTGTACAAGAAACTAAAAACCCTAATCTTCTTGCGAAGGTACCCTGTGCTGGAGTCTATTCAAAAATATTTATGGCCAAGGCTCTGCAAACTTGATCAGCGCACATTGTACGGTGACAATTATTAATTTGTTTTAATCTATAGTACATGTAGCCATTATTCTGTATATTCGCTAATTTGAGATGCTTAACAATGGCAGATATGAACTGCATTATCAATTGATTACATTTGGAAAGGTAAGCCATTACTTCGAGGACTTCCTCCAAAGAGATTTTTAAACTATACTGAATGTTTTATCATTGTTTTGCCAGGTCTTTTGCACAAAAAGCAAGCCAAACTGCAATGCTTGTCCAATGAGAGCAGAATGCAGACATTTCGCGAGCGCATATGCAAGGTTCATATCCAACCACCTACTATATTAAAGTTTTAAGTTATCTAAGATACAATTAAAAAAAAAACAAAAAATAAAACAGCATCTGCAATTTCTGACAGAACATAGTATGAAGAGAACTACTTATTGAAATCCTAGTGATCGGTCTTTTTGTGATTTATGAAAGCTGAACATACTTGAAGAAAAACAAAAAAACAAAAGACAGAACTGATAGCCTGCTCAAGCTCTTTGTATACGTAGAAATCTTTCTAGTCCTTCCGAATACAACTGGGATTCTATTAGCCAACTACGATTCTGAAACTGGTATTAAAAAGGAATTTAACTATTTAGTGTTTCTCTAATTCATGTATCAGATCCCTTGATTGCACCCCAGAAGTTAAGATATAACTTAAGTTAAAAGCTGATGCATTCTTTTTCTATTTGTTGAAAGCCGAACGTACTAAAAGAATATTAACTGATAGTCTGCACTAGGTCTTGTATATGTTGAAATCTTTGTATTCCTTCCTAATACAACTGAAAATCTGATTCCTAGCCAGTTAAGATTCTGAAAATGGTATCAGAAAGCAATTTAACTCTTAACCTTTTCTGATTCCTTTGGACATTGCTTTATTGGAATGCTGGCTTGAATCCTTTTCTGATTCCTTTTCTGATTCCTTTGTACTCTTAACCTTTTCTGATTCCTTTTATAAGTCTGCATTTCCTGCTTTCAACTTACTGTCCAGAAGTAAAATGAATGCTATAACAAAAGGAATACTACACCTGAATGAAATGCTACAAGTTTAGATAACGCACAAGTCAACAGTTATGCATGCACTCGTTGTTTCCTAAGATAAATGTTATTCTGCTGCAGTGCTAGACTTGCACTTCCTGCCCCAGAGGAGAAAAGCATCATCAGTGCAACAGAAAATGAATCAGCCAGTAGAATCTCATCAAAAAACATCAATCACCTGCAGCTGCCTCAACCTGAACCCAATCATCAATTGGAAGCCAGCCTCCAAGTCAGATCCTTTGGCTCCATTGTTGAAGAGCCTGCAACACCAGACCCTATCATTGAAGAGCCAGCAACACCAGAACCAGAAAACACAAAAGTAGCAGAGACAGATATCGAGGATAGCTTTTGTGAAGATGCTGAAATTCCTACTATTAAGCTCAACCTTGAGGAGTTAAATCAGACTCTGCAGAACTACTTTGAACAGAACATTCAAGTACAGGAGGGTGAAATATCAAAGGCCTTAGTAGTTTTAAATGCAGATGCCGCTTCAATTCCCATGCCTAAACTTAAGAACATAAATCGGTTAAGGACAGAACATCAAGTGTAAGTATATTTCAACTTAGACTAACCCTTATCGTAGAACTTACCAATGGTATATCACTTTTCATGTTGGATGCTAGTAAAATGAAAAAGTCCAGTGAATCTAATTATCTACTTCTTGCTCAGCTATGAACTTCCTGATACACATCCACTACTGCAAGGGGTGAGTACTCTGCTTTTGGGGTGGCATATTACATTCAAGCGCGTCACAGTTATCTTTTTTAACATTTATACTTTTGAAATTTCAGTTTGATAAACGAGAACCAGATGATCCTTCTCATTATCTTCTTGCCATATGGACACCGGGTAAGCAAACATGTTACTCAAAACAAAAAACCATTAGGAAAAGGTTTATTACTTGTTGGTTTCCTGTTGTTAGAGTAGCCCATTTCTGCAAAGTGAAAGGTATTAATGCACGGATATGCCAGAAAAATTTGAGAGCCTATATGCAACTAATTATGTGATGACAAACGGGGCAAACTTTCCTTCAGGTGAAACCGTAAACTCAATCCAGCCACCAGAAGGTTCATGCGGCTTCCAAGATTCAGGAAAACTTTGCGATCGGGAAACATGTTTTTCATGCAACAGCATACGCGAAGCAAAGAGCCAAACTGTCCGAGGGACCCTTTTGGTGAGAACAAAATTTTTGTTTCACATTTTAAGCTTCTTATGGTAATGTCAATTAGCAAAACATTATAATGTCTGATCGGATTATAAACCTCTTGTACAGATACCATGTCGAACAGCTATGAGAGGCAGCTTTCCGCTCAATGGTACATACTTTCAAGTTAATGAGGTACGCAAGATCATGAGTCAATAATGCTGTCGTAAACTATATATGTGCGTGTGTGTGTGTGTTAGGAAAATGAAGACTGAAAAATGCTGGTTAATTTCAGATGTTTGCAGACCATGAATCTAGCCTTAACCCGATTGACGTGCCAAGGGAGTGGTTATGGAATTTGCCTAGAAGAACAGTTTACTTTGGAACATCTGTACCAACTATCTTTAAAGGTGAGTGATGATAAGAGACTACTAAACTTTCCATAACAAAAACTTTTCCCTCTTCTTGTAGAATGTTGTTGAAGAAAATGTTTTGTTTTCGAATGTCTTGATTTCAGGTCTCACTCAACCGGAAATACAGTACTGCTTTTGGAGAGGTACACAAAGACAACATATACTTTTATCCACTAGTACATACATTTTCATTTTTATTGCTTGCCAGCATAGATTGAACTATTCAAGATTGTGGCAAACAGTTGGAAATTTTCATCCATTGCATGTGAATTAAAAAACTAGGAAGTTGTAAGAGACACATTAGATTGCTTGCGGTATAGTTCAATGAAGAAGATAAGGCCTTGGTAACATCTTTTTTCATGTTTGGAAACCACCTACTTTCACCTCTTGGGCCTTCTATGTATACCAGTTTGGTGACGGAATCTGACCTGTAAATTCAAGACTTGGCTATATATCTAAAATGCTGGGTAACTAAACTTAAATTGGTTCAGTGGATATGTAATTTGCAAGCTGTTGTGATAAAACGGTGACCTACAAAACTAACCATCTTAGTAAATGCATGCAATAAAACTCCAGAATTTTTCTGTCCCCTTACTTGACTATGCCAATTTGTCCTTTTCTAGGGTTTGTTTGCGTGCGGGGATTTGACAGGAAGAGTCGAGCGCCCAGACCACTTATTGCTAGACTGCACTTCCCAGCCAGTAAGTTAACAAGGACTAAAGGAAGGACAGATGAATAAGCTTTCCTATTGCAAGGAAGAGCACAATGCATGATCTAGGATAACTATGTAAGATTCAGCAAGCTTAAGGTAGAGACAATTATGAGGCAGGTAGCAGAGTTCAAATAGAAGATGATAGGCTTAGATAAACATGTATAAGCAATGTAGAATGTATTGAGTAGGAGGGAGATGGTTTATCAGTTTCTTCTACTAGCTTAAAATGTTACAAATACGTTACATAGGCTATTTTTCTGCCCATACTATCATTTTTCATCTGCTTATTTTCTGTATTTCAGAGAATTTGTATGGCATATTAACAAAAAACAAATTTAGATTAGCTGGTACTAGACATATCTCCAGAAGTCCACTAGATTTGGAGGGTTATGTATTGTCATACCTTTGAAGTGCACAGGTTGATATTCCCCTTCAGTTACATCCATCAATTCCAACCTGGAAGCCGTGGATGAGAACATGTATTTGTGCTAGACATTAGCCTGGTGGAGAAAATCCAAACTATGCCCCATCAGAAATTTAATAGTGGCTGTTTTACTACCAAACTTTTGTGTTTGAACCAAACAAATCTAGTTTTATTTTCATGGCGAAGTGGAAAAGAAAAATTGGCAGCTGTAAGTTCAGTTATTACACCAAAAGGCAGCAGCATTTAACATTTACATATAATGAGGGAGTAAGAGGCACTCCCTGTTACTTGTTTCTAGGATCCTTGAGGATAAAGAGAGATCTTTGGAGTATTGTGACTTAAAATCCAGTTGCAGAATGTTGCTAGCGACACATACCAATTCAATGGGATAACAAACCCAAAATAAGGTTTGACTGGCAGAAATTCAAAGGTTTATATCAACTCTCAGACATTTTTATTGATCTGTTTAACCAGAAACGATTATAGCTCAATTTAACTGGCTGAAATTCAAAGGTTTTATATCAACTCTCAGACATTCCACCAGCACCGCAAACACTAACGTACCATCAAAACAATCATCATCCCCAATATAACACTGAATACAGAAGCCTTGCATTCTAACTGATTCTTGCTCAAGATAGTTACAGTATCAGAGAGAGACTCTAATGTATAGCGAACCTATCTACAAGGAGATCACTAAAAATATATATGACGAATTGCCTACACCTAATGGCATCAATACACATACATCTAATTTATATTCATACAGATCTGACGTCTAAATTCGCTGCCTAGTGATATTCAATCATAGGGAGAAATCAATTCCACCTTCGAATCCCCTAAATTTCAAATCTAAGAACATAAACTCGCAGTTTATCCAAACTTAGATTAAAAAAAAAACCTACGAGGCAACCAAATCCTCGTAAACCTTCAATATAAACTACAAGTAAACATCAAAAGAGAATGAATCATAACTCGATAACATCGTTATTCAACAGATTAACAGTAAGCGGAAAAGAACATAGAGAAATAGATTAATGTTATAAACCTGATATGAGATGCAGCGAGATAGTCCAATACTTCTTCCTTTCGGAGCATATTCTGTTGGCGACTCTGTGTGTAAAGAAAGGATTAAGGGGATCGAGAGAATGGAGGCCCGGCGGCCGCCGATTCTCTCTCTCCCCTGCGGCCGCGAGATGGGAATAACTTTTGGAAAATTTCCCGCTTTCCTTTGTTAGTTAAAGAGAGTTCCCTCCCATTTTGTTTTTGGGCTCTATATCGTTTTGACATTTGAATTGGATCTGCACCGCCCATTGTAATTCTATAGTTGACTAGTTGACTGACACGTTTATTGGCGATTTTATAGCAAATTCTCTCCTTAAGGGCCTTCTACGAATTTAAATTCCAACTAAGGGCTCTAACTTTTTCTATTATTATCTCTGTCCAAAAATAAAATAAAATAAAAAATCAAAATTCAATTTTAAAATTCATACTAATTATGTAGATCTCAAAAATCAAGAGAAATTAGTAACTTTTTGGAACGGAAAGAGTATTATATTTTTAATTGGATTTGACAAGATGACTCTTACCTTTTCCTTTTCTATTCATTGTGCAAACCGCAAAGTTGCTACTAATGGTGCAAGGCCATAATGGATCCATTGTGTCAATCATTCTAATAATGAAGAACTAGGCTATTTAAAACATTGGAGAAGACTGGAGATGCAAGGTGCCAGAGTTCTCTTAATTGGGGGCAATCCAGAAATAGATGCATGTTCTCCATTGATGATTTTATTGGGGCAACCGTGATGATTTATTCTTCATAGGACCCAAAGAAAAGTTTGGAAAACCAAAAAAAAAAAAAAAAAAATTGGAGGCGTTATCTTCAGCTACATATATATATTATTATTATTATTATATATAATAGAGAAACCAGAGAGAGAATTTGGAGTTTTATTCTCAGTATGTCACATAAGCTTTTTTCCAACGAGTAATTTTATCATTTTTGTCCAAAAACAAAGTTAATGTATTTGTAGGAGAAGTCCTTCCTTGAATCTTGAAAAAACCAAAAACCTCATAAAGGAATTCTCCAATTCACGCAGCAACAGGGAGGTTTTTAACCTGAATTACAACTCGGTCAAATTCAACCCACAATTCACGCAGCAAGTGGCAAATTTTTAGCCGAAATCCTAAACCCACAAATTAAGATTAGATCTCTTATTTTTTTCACTGGTGATTCGCGACCGATTAAGGGTCAAATTCTGCCCCTATCCTGATTTTTTCTTCTTCCTTCCACCGGCGATGCGTGATCGGAGGAGAGTGATTGAATACGGATCGAGTTGCAGCAGCGGCAGAGGATTGGTTAATCTACTAACGGCAAGCACTTATTCATCTATCGGCGATCGTCACCGGCGGGTGGGGGGGATTGAAATTGTGACGAATCCGCTTAAAATGGCAGTTCTTGATAAATTTTATTTATGATCCATTTGTTTTTATTCGATTTATCACCCCAATTCACGCGGAGAGGGTCACAATGCAATCCGACTTGCAAAATATTTAACTTGTATATCCTCGAATTAAAACATATTTGTTATTTATGTTGATGTTTTTGTTCGTTTTGCTTAGATTTAAGGGAAGAAAGGTAGAAGAACAAAAGAAGAAGAGATGGACGTGCGTGAATCTTCCATTGAGGTAAGAGCTTCGTCCCTTCAAATTTTGTTTGTGTGTTATAACTAAGAATGAGAAATGAGATGAGATGATTCCGGTGAGAAATATAAGAGTAGTGCAGCAAGTAACAATGGGATTTACGCGGGTTCAAATGTGTCCACTATAATGATGACAAAGTTGTTGTCCACCAAAGTAAGCTAATGGTTCACTACATTAAAATTTGTGTGTAATACCTTGCATCATTTCAAACCTATACATTAAATAAGTAAGCTCTTGTGAGTTGTGATTTCAATGGCTTTGTTTGGCATTCTTTTCTTGTGAGCTATGACATTTCAATTTGCAAGTTACTTTTGCTGAATTATGTAGACCTAAAATGGTTGTTCTCTGTAATAAATGCATCAATGATCATTTTATGTGAGGACCAAGGTTTGTGAATAATTACGATGCAAGAACTCCTGTTTAATTAGATTAAACTGAATACTAATTAAACAGAAGATGTGATTCGTTAAAGTAAATCACAACTTTATACATTTGAGTTTGGCCAACATAAATAAAAATCTTCAAGCAAAGGCATGCAAAGATACATACAAAGAACAGAAAGAATAGACAACTATGTCGATTGTTTGAGTTGTTTTTTATAGTCCTTCAAATGACTTGTGAGAAAAAACAAATGAAAAATGCATGTAAATTGAAGTACAACAGCAAAATTGATCACTTCATTACATCTGTACCTTTCGACTTGTAAAATTTCTTCCTTAAGTTACTCCAACTCCATGGAACAGGGACATCCCGAGGAGCAAGAGCCAATCTTCTAACCAGATGGCGAAATCCATAAAGGATCAACGACGACAGCCTTTTTCCAGAGGTCAACCAAATCAGCACAGCATCAAAATTGATCACTTCACTATATATGTACTTTTTGACTTGCAAAATTTCTTCCTTAAGTTGCTCTAACTCCGTGGAACAGGGACACCCCGAGGAGCAAGAGCCAATATTCTAACCAGGTGGTGGAATCCAAAAACGAATCAGCAACGCCAGCTTTTTTCCGGAGGTCAACCAATTCAGCACCTTTCCAGCCACTACATTATCACACCATCAGTATCATAGCACTGTTAGAAATTGGAAGTCCTATCAGGTGCCATCTTTCATGGAATATCCTTAAGAAGGTGATCCAGTATCCCAGTATTACCAATCTCCTTTTGTGTCTCCTTCCTTAAAGCAGCTTTGTAAATTGGGTTGTCTGTTCTAGCTTTCTTATCCTTCAAAATAATTTTTGAACCATCTCTCTCATATTCATCTCTCTTCTTATCCTTCAAACTAAATTGGGTTTAAGAACTTCACTTTGTACCGCTTCCTTTTTAGCATCAAGCTTCTGTGTAATTATGATTCATTTGACTTCTGTTTAGTTATATGTGTTTTCCCCCCTCTTTTTAATTTGGTGTTGTTTGTATAATTACCGTAAATTAATTATTCAAGTAATTTACAAATAATTTTTTATTTTGTTCGAGTAATTTTTCTTTCCCGCACATCGTGCGGGTAACCTCTAGTATATATATATATTGTATCAAGGCTAAAATTTGCTTTTATTCATGAATTTAGGTTAGCCGCATTGAAGAAAAAAATTCCAAAATTTGCATGTTGGTCCTTTAAGTTTGTAGTATTTTTATTTTTGGCCTGCAACTTCTTCTGTGCAATTAAGTCCCCAATCGTGCAAAATAGTTCAAAACAACTCCAATCTACCAATTTAAGTCCCTAGCACAAAATAATGATAAATTTAATTAATAAATTGAGGTAATAAGTAGATGTAATATACAACTTATTGAGGAAAAAAAAAACTCAAAGCGTATTTTATATTCAGTATAAAAAAAAATTACTACTCATATTTATATATATATATATATATGTATGTACACAAACACACACATTAAGTTGATGGACATAAATTTTTAATTTATGCTACCATTTTTTACGATTCAAAAGGAATTGCGATTTTTTAAAATTTTATCCTTCATAGATTAAAAGCGTTAAAACTTTTGAATTTAGCCAACAAATAAAGTTACACAATTTATTTAAATTCATAAAAAAATGTCATGTTAGTTTTTTCTAAATTCACAATTTAGAAATGAACGAGGTTGTGGTGGAGTGAAAGACTGATCAACTATCAATATTAATAGTGATGAGAGGGTTCCAAAATTGTGATGAGCATTTAAAAATTTTAAAATCGTTCACAAATTATTTCACTTATCGAGGTGCCTACAACTCATAAGGTAAATTTAACTATTATTGCCGATAGTAGATATTGTACTATTATGAGAAAAAAAAATACAATTTTTTTTTAGGAGAATGCATAGACTTTTTTTATTATTCTTTTTTTGTGGTAAAATCCAATGTCAAAAAAGTTCATCCTTCATGATCTGGGCTAAATTTGACTACCATGAATCATTGGTTATTCTACACTATTGACATTAAAGTATCAATTAACCGAAGTTATTTATAGTCATGGATTCATTGAACTTGACCTTACATCTTGTTATTTCTATCTATATTTTTTTCCTCCTTGTATATGCCACCGAACTGGCGTTATATTTGTCGGGTTCCAATCCACTTGTGACGTTAAGGTCAAAGATGTTTATAAATTATTTTCTGAGAAAATTATCGCTAATTGTATTAATAAAATAAATCCAATTATATAGTATCTCTTTGTTGAAAAATCACTAACCCATTTGGAGGACAACCCAGTTGGATTAATCTCACATTGTGTCAATATTAAAGTACGTATATCCTAACAGAAGGCACTTCGTGTGCGACAATTTGACCCATAATTATACGATTGCTTGCACTAATGTTTAAGCTTAAGTCTACTAAATTCAATAATTGTTCTTAGTGGTATTACAATTTTATGCTCGAGTCGTATGATAACAATTGGTTTTCAGGTGTATATTTTTGAGGAATTTTAATTAAAAAAAAACGGTCTTTGTCTTTTATTCATATAAAAAGCACACACTCTTCGCCCCTCTTCGCATAAAATATTATTAATTCAGTTTATTAAATTTGCAACAATCATTGGATAAAAAAAGAATTATTTTCAAATTGCAAGTAGGGAGTCAACTAGCCAATGGGGAATCCATGGCATTATCTTTTCTTTCCCCTTCTAAATAGAAAAAAGGTTCCTTTATTCGGCATTCACAGTTTCACACCCTTTATAAGTATTTAGTGTTTTTTTGTTTTTTAGCTAGGTTATACTTTTCCAAAAAAAATTGTTAAATGTGTTTTAGAATGTAATGTGATGTCAAGAATCTAACTAGGATAACAAGTTAACAGAAAAAAAAAACATCACAAAATATTTTGTTGACAATGCATTATTGAGTTGAATGCTCTATAATCTGGTTAATATTATCCATTGTTTATCCTATAGGACCAATATACACATGATTCCATGTGGTGATTAAAAAAAAAAAAAAATTATGAAAAGAAGAGACAGATTATTTATTAACTTATGTTATAATTAAATGTGAGAATTTAAAAATAAGTAAAAGTTTATTTTTTTAATGACAAAAAACAAAGAAAAACAAATCAAAGAAAATAAAAGGAAATAAAGTATACATAAACTATGGTTTTTTAGTCATTTTGATGTTTGACCATGCTTAAGAAAGCAAAGCTAAATTTAGCAATGAAATAAGCACTAATTTCCTCTACAAAAGTTATAAAAGAAGAATAAAAAAAAAGGGTACTATAACGGGGACTACTATATTCAAGCGCAATTCCAAAATTTTCTTTATTAGTGGGAAATGGGGATGATTGTCATAGAAAGTGGCCAATAGAAATGAAATGAAAGGACCAATATGGTCAAAGTAATTTGTGAGATGTGAACCCAATTCAAAAAGGCTACATTTTTAGCCTATAGTAGAGCAGTTAATAGTACTCCAACTATTTAAAAAATTTAGCCCGAGAAATTCCCCAGATGTTAATATTACGCCACCGAAACAAAAACACTACTATTAATAATAATATTATTATTATACTGTACTAGTTACAAAATACAAACACAAATACAGCCCCCCCGTTCCCCAATCCCCCATTTCTCTCTCCGACAAGATAGCGAAAGTCTGAAAGGAAAAAAAGAAAAAAAAAAGAAGAAGCAGAGATATACGAATTTGTAGAGAGAGAAAGTGTGTGAGAGAGAAAAATCCGCGCATTTCGTCTTCTCCTTTTTTACTTAGAGGATGCTCCACTGTTAAGTAAAATTGGATGGTTGGTGATTCTAGGGTTTTATGAATTCGATTGTCTTGGGCGATATTAGACTTCGATGGAAATGCCGGGGAGACGATCAAATTATAGTTTATTGAGTCAGAATCCACCGGAGGAACATCTCTATCAACAACCACAGCTACCTAAATTCCCGGCGGTGGCTGCCGGAGGTGGAGGAGCTGGAGGTTATTACGAGTCTCACTCTGGGGAAAAGAATAATAACAAGGGGAAGTTAGATAGAGGTGTATTTGATTGGGATTTAATTGATCACAGGATGCAGAGTCGGATGGGGACGGCGTCTGGGTTTTCGTCGTCTACGGGGCTACAGAGGCAGTCCAGTGGGAGTAGCTTCGGGGAGAGTTCGCTCTCCGGAGAGTATTATGGTGGTCCCTCCCTCTCGAATCAGGAAACGGCGTTTGGTACTTGGATGAATGATGCTAGTGGTGGTGCAGAAATGAGGCTGAGAGGGGTGGAGGGGTCTGGTGGTGGTTTAGGTTGTGGGTCTTCTTCCTCCAAGAGCTGGGCACAGCAAACGGAAGAAAGTTATCAGCTGCAGCTGGCGTTGGCGCTCCGTCTTTCGTCGGAAGCTACATGCGCTGACGATCCCAATTTCTTGGATCCCGTGCCGGATGAATCTGCTTCAAGAGCGTCAGTTGCGCCTGCTTCGCCAGAGGCCATGTCTCATAGATTTTGGGTACCTCTTCACCTTTCTTACTTGTGTTCATTTACCTTCTATTTACTTCTTACAATGTGAGGGCACCGCTCTTTTCAGTGTTCTAGTAGATTTTTACTGAAATGGTTTAGGTGATGTGGCCTGTGGGGTATGGATGTACTGGGCAGCAATTTCTGCTTGTTGCAACTTGTTTGTTTTCCTTAAGTAATTTTAACATCCTCACCTGTTGTCTTTTGGTTGTTGCATGGGGTTTGTGTTCTGAAATATGGAGAAAATTTCTCGAGCCCAATAAGTGATCTTAATAGTTTTTCTGTCCAATTTGATTTTAGTTCTCATTATCTTTGTTTGAATGAAAATAGTTGTTAGGGATCGTATAGGAGGTGAACAATTTGGTCTTCTCTCTGGTTAAAAAATATCAGGGGCCTAAGTATACATTGTATCTCCGTTAGTATAGAGTCAATAATATGAATGGTAAATAACAAAATTGCAGTCTTGATTTGCTGGCTTATCGTTGACTTCGCTTGTCTCCAGCATACTGTAGGTTGGGCTTTTTTTTGTTTTTTTGTTTTTATTGGAATGGTGTCCTGATTGGAAAACAAATAAATGCAGTAGTATTTCAGGATGAGATGAAATCAAGATGACGGGATTGAGTTTTATCTAAGTATTGGATGAAAAGATACCCTTGTTTCATGTGTTGATCCATTCACTTTTGATGATTTCAATATCCATTTATATATCTCATGTTCTATACATTAGATTTAGTGAAGTCTTTTGATTTGATATGTTTGCTGATGGTGTATATCAGATCTGCTCAGCATAAAAGTATATGTTTTACTCTTCCATTTTTATATCTACTCACTGCCAATTCCCATACTGAGTTTGTCTTTTCCTAAATTTCCCGCGTCAGGTGAATGGTTGCTTATCTTATTTCGACAAAATTCCTGATGGATTTTTCTTGATTCATGGAATGGATCCTTATGTATGGACTGTTTGCTGCGACCTGCAAGAAAGTGGTCGTATTCCATCAATTGATTCGCTCAAATCTGTTGACCCGAATGTCTTAGCATCCGTGGAGGTCATTACAGTTGATAGGCATAGTGATCCCAGCTTGAAGGAATTGCAGAATCGGGTCCACAGTATGTCTTCTACTTGCATCACCACAAAAGATGTTGTTGACCAGCTTGCAAAGCTAGTTTGCAATCATTTGGGGTCAGTATGAGATTTCTGCTAAATGGTGTAATGTGAACTCGATTTGAGGATGGTAATCTTTGTGCTAACTTTATATTTAATGTCTTCCGAAGGGGTCAAGCTTCCACGGGTGAAGAAGGTTTAATTCCTATCTGGAAGGACTGCAGTATCGACCTGAAGGATTGCTTGGGATCAATTGTACTTCCAATTGGTAGCTTATCTGTTGGCCTTTGTAGGCATCGGGCTTTGCTTTTCAAGGTAATAATACACTTAGATCCTGGAGTTTCAGTTTTCTAGAATCAATTTGCCCAGTGAACCATTGTATCATTTCATCTGCATGATGTGCCCCATTTCTTGTTTCCCTGCTTGAAACTTTTGTATTCTCATATTAAAAGCATTGTTTATTGTTCCCCAGTAATCTGAAAAACAGCTAGGTAAAGTTGATGGGATGTAAATAATAAGAAATTCATGGTCTCTTTGTAGAGTCTGTGTAATAATATATTAAAAAATTTAACAAAAGCAAAGGATGGGAAATTTCATTTTTTCATTTTATACTGAGCTATTGGTACATATTTATTGTGTTCCTTTTATGAGTTGCCTTATCCTTTTCTCCAGAATAGGCATTTTTTCTTAACTTGGAATCTTATGCTCTTTTATAAATATTCTGTGATCTTGTATGAATTTTATAGCTAGATTTGGAAATTTGATTTGTTTGAGATGATAAAGATGTCATTTTTGTGGTAGTATTGTTTCTATCATCTTGCATGTGAATTTAGGCCTTTAATTCAGAAAAGAAGAAAATTCTGTTTTACATGAGTCGATAGCTGATGTCATTGGAAATATATGATTTTGTTTTATGAATCAAGGCTTGTGAAATCTATTTCCTAGTTGGGGTTATCTGTCGTCCTCCTTTCACGTCATGTTATTGTTAGTCATTGGGTTATGATTCGTGTGTTATTTTACTCCTTTCTTTTGCTTTTTAGTTCCGATGGTATAAAATTTTTTGGTGTGTTCCTTCTAGAAATCACGGGAAAAAATGTTTTATCAGCTTGCATGATTCTGAAGTATCCTGTCCTTTTCACTTCTTACATGTTATGTCCTAATTTTTCCTGTGGCCTTAATTTACTAACTTGTTTTGAAATTTTCATAATTAATTCAAAAGGCTACTTAGTTTTCTTAATTTTCCCTTTGGACTGTAATATCCTCAATTCACCTGAATATGCACGCCCAGTCAGACAAATCTATTGGGGAAAGGAAATGCATCAGAAGGTTCACCTCCATTTAGATTCTTAGTGAGCTTGCATTTGAACATGCTTGAATATCATTTTGCAGGTGTTAGCTGATAGCATCGATTTGCCTTGCCGAATTGCAAAAGGCTGCAAATATTGTTTGAGGGATGAAGCTTCCTCATGTCTTGTTCGGTTTGGGCTTGAGAGGTAGTCTTCTGAGACTTAAATGATGCCCTTAAACCATTACCTCACACCTCTATTAAATTTCTCATTTAACAGTGCAACAAGTACTGATATGTTATATATACAGAGTTCCATCCAACAAACTATGCCTAGTGGATAGAATTGTATACTCTTTATTTGCCTCTTATTACTACCCGTTTCCTCTGTATACCATCTTTTGTTCTAATTTTCCTCTACATGCTGAGACATTTGCCCTTCAAAATATTCTGCTGTTTTCCTGCTTCAATTCTTCCCTATTGCATTCAGGATGGGATATATGAGTTCATTTTTTCTTTTAACTTTTTTTCCGTTTTAGGAGAATAGCTGTCAACTTTCACATTCACATTTTGTCGAAGGACCAAAACATTGTCTGCTGTGGTTTCTGTTATCTCCATCTCCTGTACGTTTGTTCTTGTTAGGGTTTCTGGATAAGAACTCCCAAGGTTATGGAAAACGGAAAATTCTGTCTTTCTTGTCCTTGCGAGAAAGCTCGACATTGTACTGAACTTAGGGTAGGATGCTGGTTTACATCCTTATGGATGTGAAGTATTAAGAGATGTTAGGTTGCTTTTATCTTTCCAGATATTAGGATTTTCTTCAGCTGTCTTTACTGGTTGTAGCTTTTAAGAACTCATGCTGGGAGGAGTGATTTCCATCCACTGTCTGTACCTTGTTCTTTGTAACATACTCAAAATAAATTGGGTTAGCAGATGCACTAAAAAAAAATTACTTCCCCATATGTTTTGGTAATACATTTCTTACAGTGATGAAAACTACATAGTGATGGTTTATTCTGACAAGTAATCTCTGTATTACAGGGAATATCTTGTTGATTTGATTGGAAATCCAGGACTTTTATGTGAGCCTGATTCCTTGTTGAATGGTCCATCTTCAATCTCAATTTCTTCGCCGTTGCGCTTACCTCGATTCAGACCAGTTGATGCTACGATTGATTTCAGGTTACTGGCCAAACAGTATTTCGCTGACTGTCAGTTACTTAATATCGTATTTGACGACTCCTCATCAGGTGAGGTTTTTTTCCCCCCATCATTTCTAAATAGTTTGTATTCATGTCCTTTGCATTCTCTTTTGAAAACTTTATTACTATGTAATATGTTTCTGGTATTTCTGTATAGTAGCACTGTTGTTTTAGTTGGTTTTGCTCTTGGTAAATTCTTAATTTGTTTTACAATAGTTTCTTAAGAAATGTTATGACGAATTACTTAAGGTGGAAAATACTTTTTTTATTTCATTAAGTACTGCCATCATCGATTTTATCAGTCTACTGTTTATCTCATATGCTTTATCTGTGGTTTTTTTAGTATGATTACATTTTTTGTTGTCAATTTAGAAATTTTGTATTCTAACGAATACAGGGCATTTTTCCCCTTTAAAGAGGCTTCGTGCCTCCATTTCTGTGTTTTATCAAACAATACAGTCTTCAACATTTTAAATCTATTTCCTCTTAGAGGTCATTACGGGAGGCAATGCTGATGGAGATAAGGGAGACATTGAAAATCAAAAAAGATCTGATAAGAGTTACATGGACAGAATCCTTTCTACTCCTAGTTTGAGCAACCAAGATGAAATTCGCCATTCGCAGCTACCTCCACACAAGGTTCGCAACAAGGATTCACTAATCACTAAATCGCAGAATCCCATCAGTATCATGGGCTCTTCAAATGTGGCCATAGCTATGCAACCAGTTCCCTCATATGGGCATATTGGAGCACATAGAGCTATAGTGGGTCCAAACATAGAAACAATCAAAGCTTCAAGATATGGTGAGGGAGGTCAACTGATTCCAGTTGGACCAAGCGGGGAACTTAACCTTGACGTGGATGACTTGGACATCCCTTGGAGTGATCTTGTTTTGAAAGAGAAAATAGGGGCTGGTAATTTCTTCTGCACTGATCAAAATTAGCTTGCTCAATCTAGATTTTGTTTTCAGGATGCTGTGTTGGTTTCAGGTCTATTTGATTGGTCTATACTAAATGGAGTTGTTGCTGCCAATTTTCAGGTTCTTTTGGTACAGTTCATCGTGCTGATTGGAATGGATGTGTAAGTCATTTATTCACAACTATTTATGCTTGCATGCTAGATTGTTGAAAAGACTACTGTCACTTCGTATAATTATATCCTATGCACTAACCTATCGTGTGGGTTAATACTCGAACCATCTGATGCTGTTGTTTCAGAGGGTTCCTGAATTTTTTCTTTGTTAAAATAAAAGTTTAGTTATCCCCTCAGGTCTCCCGTATCAGACATTCTCTTTTGCTTCTTCATATGTTTTTTTCCTTTTGGGATGGGATTGCTGAAAGTGTAACTGTTTTTCAGGATGTTGCTGTTAAAATTCTCATGGAGCAAGATTTTCATGCGGAAAGATACAATGAATTTATACGGGAGGTATGGGATCTAAATGGATTTTTTTCATTTCTAAGATGTGACCATTTGTGCCTGTAGTTGAGAGGAATGTATACATAAAAGAGTTCTGCTTGGATCACCAGAATTTTATTTTATTTTATTTTTTAAAATTGTCTTTTATTCTCATTGTGCATATTATCATATTGCTTCTAAGCATCAACTCGTCTCTCTTCGGTGTATTCAGGTTCAAATTATGAAACGTTTACGTCATCCAAATATTGTACTTTTTATGGGGGCAGTTACCAAACCGCCTAACTTGTCTATAGTCACCGAATACCTATCAAGGTATTATTGGGTTTCTGTTTGTATACTAACTGCAGTTTTCATTTGTCCAGAGCATGAAATTGTATCCTGTGATTCTTATCTGTTTGTACTTCAATTATCAGGGGTAGTTTGTATAGACTGTTACATAAGCCAGGGGCAAGAGAAATGCTGGATGAAAGGCGGCGCCTTTGTATGGCTTTTGATGTGGTATGTACTCAATCTCCAATCACACATTTCTTCTTCCCCCGTATAAGGGGTTGGCAGATGCCTTTGTATGGCTTTTGATTTGATATGTACTCAATCTCTGTATTCAGGCAAAGGGGATGAACTATCTGCACAGACGTAATCCTCCAATTGTTCATAGAGACTTAAAATCTCCCAATCTTTTGGTTGACAAGAAATATACAGTAAAGGTACGCCGGATCCTGGAGTGTGTTATCTTTTGTTTTCTGGATTGTATGATCATCAGTGATCTCATAGAATAACTATCTGCAAATTTTTAGGGGATAGAAGTCGTATATTTGTTTTCTTTTTCTTTTAATTTCGAAATGGTGAATGCTGCCTTTGTTAGAAGAAATATGTTCTCACCTTTAGAGAGCTTGCCCCAGGTGTGTGATTTTGGTCTTTCCCGTTTGAAGGCGAATACATTCCTTTCATCAAAGTCAGCTGCTGGAACAGTAAGTTCAATGATCATCTAGATTGATCTTTTTGACTACCATAGCTAATCGTGCCCCGGGAACTTCTAAAACTTAATGAATTTCACTTGATTGTATACTATAGCCTGAGTGGATGGCACCAGAAGTGCTGCGCGACGAACCGTCAAATGAAAAATCGGATGTCTATAGCTTTGGTGTCATTTTGTGGGAACTTGCAACTGTGCAACAACCATGGGCTAATTTGAACCCAGCCCAGGTTTGGTTTCCATCTCCATAGAAGTGCTCTTTGAAGTTATGCATGACTTTATGCTGGCCATAAATCTTTGTTCACAGAGTCTCATCTTTATGAGATTTGATTCTATAGTTGAAAAGTATTTTTCTGGTGTTATTTGGCATTAAAGGACTATTTTGAAGGGGCAAGTCTTGAATGTTTTTGATACTTAGCATATCAGATAGCTTTACCTTGCAACTCCTAAAAACTTGATTTGACAGCTCTATTTTCGATATTTGCTAAACTTTTTTTAACACATCTGACCATTTTGTAGGTTGTGGCCGCAGTTGGTTTTAAGGGGAAAAGGCTTGAAATACCACGTGGTTTGAATCCTCAGATAGCTGCAATTATTGAAGCTTGCTGGGCGAAGTGAGTACAATGCTTTAACGGTTGTCTATGTTTTGGAAATTAGTTTTCTTTAACCAATTTTCACCTTGTTTTGCAGTGAACCATGGAAACGGCCTTCCTTCTATAATATTATGGAATCCTTGAAACCTTTGATCAAAATAGCCCCAACAGCCCAGTCGAGTGACATTCCCTTACTAACTTGAAGTGTACACTACGAGGTCTTATGTGATTGTTTATGTGTCTTCTTTTTGATCGGATGCCTGGCTGGCATGGAGCACCGTCCAGGTTTGAAAATTTGATTCAGTGAATCCAAGCAGCTCATTCTTTACTAGCGAAGCAATTTGGAATTGGTTCTCTTTCTGGATGTTAATGAGCACAACCTAATTCTTGCAGGCTTTTTCATGTACATAACACACGATTCGAATTGGCAATTTAGGGATGGATGTTTTAGCCAAACCAGGAGAAACTCATTACCTCAATTGGAGACGACTATCCTAGTACATTTGTATTCTTCTTGAAATGCTTGTTTTTGCTAAGCAATCTGTACCAGTGATTAGTGTGGAAACAAATCTTGTCAGTTTCCGCCACAATTTTTTTTGTTGTATTTAAGCTTTGTAATCTAGAATGTGCCCCATAGATGCAGAACCACTCAGAAATTCGAGTGTGACGTGTAATACAGTACTTGTCAGCTTAGTTGGTCAAATTTAATGAAAGTGGTTTTGTAAAATGATGGCTGTTTAGTGCAAATTCGCTCTATGTTTGTGATGAGAAAAATGTTCACTAGTACATCCTTCTGATTTGAGATGTGTTATTCGCTAGAATTTAGACTGAGAAAAAGGGTGCTTACTACATCCTTCTAATTTGAATGGTTAGGTGTGTTATTCGTCAGAATTTAGGCAACTTGTATCGATCATTGATAATGGACCTCGCAGGATAATTTTTATCCTCCAATACGAAAGGTTTTTATATCCTCCGAAGGCATCAAGAATCTAGTTTCTTCGGTAGTATACCGGGAGACTGAACCAGCCTGTTTCACTCTAATCAGCAAATACTGGTATAAATCCTAACTCAATGTAAATTGTTTTTTGGAAGGTAAAGTAATATAACCTTTTTTTCAAAAAAAAAAAAAAAAAAAACAACAACTCAAACGTTTTTAACACATGTTTTATCATCAATGTTTTGGGTGTATGTGTTTTTTTGGTTGGAAACTTGGAATGAAAAATATGTTTATTTGGAAGGTAAAGAAGCAAATATTGAAAAAAAAAATAAAAATCAAAACTCTATTAAAGAACAAATCAGACAGAAGCCAGCTTCGGGTCGTGGGTTCTTTCGGCAATCTTTGTCTGTAGAATCTTACTTGCTCCTGATTATCTCTATCCCACTACTTGGCTTTTCTTCCTCCTGGGGACGAATCTCTTGTGTTGTTTCTAAGGTACGCAGACTCCCAAATCAGGTAGCTAACAAAACTGGATTCTTTCGCGGGATTTAGGGGCAGCACAACACCTGCCCTCAATTTCGATCAGGCCGCCGCCGCCGCCACCGCCACCGCCACCGGAGGAGAGGCCATGATGGTGGAGAAATCATCGAATCAAAAGGGGTATGAAGAAAAAAAAGCAGCCGTTCATGAAGAGATGTCCAGAATCAGCAAACTTCCGTCGAACAGCACTTACGCGATACACCGATCGCGAGTCTTGAACAAAATCCTTCACCTCCTATCCATTCAGGTAAATCTGTCCCTTTCAAAGCCTTTTTCTCCTACCAAAATCATATGTCATTACTGTTAGGTTGATTCGTTACAAATAGAATTGAAGGTTTTTGTCCTACACATTCTCCCTCTTGTGCTGTGATTACCAATCCCTTTAAATATTAGACCAAAAAACACACACCAATCCCTGTAAATATTAGACAAAGCAAATTCTGCTGTGTTAATTTGTGAATTCCTCCTGTCGCTCTTAATTAGAGCAGAGAGAACTGTATATAGCAGATTCTGTGTTTATTAAATACACCCTCGTTCCGCATTAGGCAGTATTTCCATCATTAACTGGTTTGTTAATTGTGGTTTGATTACGATAATGGTCTTGCCTTTTTGCTTGAAATTAAGGACAATATGATAACACTGACTTGTTTCCTGCGTTTCCCTTCTCTTTTGCAGCGAACAGCATCTCAGGAGGAGGAGTTGGAGTTATTGTTTGCTGGTCTCTCTATCTGAACAAAGTTCTTTCAAAGAAGTTAAGTGGGGCTTGTTCTTTGTTCCTGAGGGACTGCTGAAACTGTAAAAGATGGTTTCTCAAGACTGATTTGCTGATTTGGATATTTCTTCTATACATTTCCATGCCCCTAAGAGTATCGCCGCAGATCTATGTACTTTATTTTCCATTTTGTCCCTTGAAATAGGCGTAGGCTTGTGAATTTTACAGTAGTTAGCTGTTGTTTTTGAGCCTCTGTATTATACGGATCAAAGACATATGTTGTTAAATTATGTTTAAGTTAATCGCAAAATGTTTGCTTGCGAGCTTAGTTTTCTTGCTTTAAACCCACAAGTTGCATGCGAAACGACTACAGTGAGGTTTAGGAGTGAGTTTGCTTACTAGTTACTACAAGAAGATGAATGTAAATGAGTCAAAATATAAAATGAAATGATCGTTATAAGCTTCATCGCTCGGTTTTCATCATGATTATGTTACATCAGGACATTGTAAACTAACATCTTTTACAAAGGAAAGTATTCTTCAATCCATAAAGTTAGCAAACAAATTTTTCATGGAGTAGCAGAATTCATTCCATCCGTCAGAAGTCTCTACATCCTGTCCAGTGGAACTGTAAACCTGCACAAATGACTTCTATACAATATGTTAGCCAGAACAAAAAAATAAAAAATTGCTACTTGTCTAATTTGTCAACTGCAGGTGTGACAAAAGGTTAGTTTCTTAACAATCAAATATTATATAAAAAAAAATGTCCATTTCAATCCCATCAGATCAGGTGAAACCGGATCTGAATACCTAAGATTTCACTGACGAAACCTAAGAAACCTAAGGATTTTGATTATTTGAACTATCATCTTTAGGCAAACCAGCTTGCTCATCGAGCTCTTTAAAAGGATTCTCATCCTCTTGCCACTTCTCAACACCTGAACTTTGGGGACCATGCAAAGGATCTAGGTTCCAGAAATCCGACATTCCACTGCTAATTCCTATCTCTGGCATGTCATAGTTGACCACATTACCCCATAACTCACTACAAGAGGAAGATACACCACCTTCAGATTCAACAGCCTTGCTCCACGGATCCGGGTCTTCAAACATACCTTCCATTCCAGGAGAAGAGGAAAAACAGTCAGGGATGATCTCAGGTGGAACAACATCCTTTCCCCTGAGAAGTGGATCTATATTTCCACGTGCCGGATCCCAACCTATTGCAACGGGTGCAACATTTCCAAGTGGCGATGGCATATTGATGGACTCCATGCCAGTATCTGCGGGTATATCTTGTAAATGGAGTTCAGGAAATTGTTCTAGTGAAACAGGATTGAGCTCTGGGGTATCAGTAGATGGAAAGATGTCAAGTGAATCAGGACTAAACTTCACAATTTGCCCTTCCATGGATGAATTGGCCTTACCTGTCTCCTGCTGCTGATGATGTCTCAGAAACTTTCTCATTGTTCTTGGGGAAGTGATTTCTTTTTGTTGTTTCATCTGTTGCAGGTGAGCTACAAATGCTGGATTTTGAAGCAGTTTAGCCATAAACGAGACCATCTGCTTCTGCCTATTCTCTGCTGCTTGAAGTTTTTCATTAACTGCCTCCATATGTTGAAATGTTCCACGCTGTTGTCGTTGCAATTCAGCTAGCTCTTGCATCATCAAGCTCCTGTCTTTTCTTAATTGTTCTACCTCACCTCCAATTTTACCTGTTTCACTTGATGAACCAGAGGAGCTTCCAACATGCATGGATTGAGTGGATTTCCGCCTCTGTATGTTCTTCAGCATGTGCCTATGCCCTCTTAAGAAACCCTCACTAGCAAACTCCCATTTGTCAGCATCAATCTTGCGGAAACCCTGCAAAGATTACACAAAAAGGATATCCAAATTACTAATTCAAGGTTTAACCTTAACAAAGAATAATGTTACACAATTCCAGGGCAAACCGAAGACTATCACCACTGCTAGAAACTGCTGCACTACGAAGAGATCATCATTGCATCTGTATTTCCCTACTAAACTAAAGCAACAGAGCAGAACAAGATTATATATTAACGTCTGCGAGTGGAGCAATAAACATAATGCCTTAGATCCTCACCTGGAAGTTAGATGATCCTCCCAATTACGCCAGAGATGATGGTCTTATACCAATAGCTAAATGAGGCATCATCTCATCCGTGTCTACTAGTAGATATGATGAACCATTGGCTACAACATTCATGGTTCAATGTCTCCTAAAAATCCTAGGCTATTACAGTATCAAGCTTATACAGACAGTAAGACAAGCAAGTTCACTTAGAATACTCCACCATATTAAGAACCAGCACAGATGAATGGATTTACAAACGCAGAGTCTTCATTACAATTTAAAACAATTCTCTTACTTTACATCCAGAGTCATTACAATTTACAAACTTCTTTCTGAAGAAGGTTATAATAGTTACAGACTTACAGGATTTTTACCCGAAACCATCATTACAAATTTACAGACGACAGAGAATTACAAGAACAAGAGTTACATGGATAACAAAAAAAATATTACATGAAAGAAGAAAACACAAAATAAACGAAAACAGAAAGAAAGCGGAGTCTATCAATATGCCTGCATACTAATTACTTAAGAACAACAGATGATACCCACATATGTATTCAGTTGGCGAACAAAGCTGGAGAAATTGTTGTGCTTGAAGTTCCTTGGCAGAATTGCTCTGGCGAACTCCACCGGGTCCCAAACCACAAAGCTCTGGCCTTTATCTCCCCATGAGATTATGGAGTCCAAAGCCGGGTCATCCACAAGGTCATAAGTCTTGGAAAGAAAAGGGGGTATTGGGTTCCCCTGCAACGCTTCCAGCGGCTGAGGCAACCCGGAAAAACTCTCCCCGAGTCCCCCGGCGGCCGCTGTTTCTTCAATATTTTGAAAAGACGATTCCATCATTTGTAGAGGGAAAATTTCAGTGGGAGGCGACAAGGCCCAAGTATTTGGAGGCAGGGTTGAAACCCCACCTTCAGTTGAGGTAAACGGCAAAGTACTCGGAGTTGGGACCATTTCCGAAGGAGGCCAAGTGGAAGAAGGAAAATCTGGGTTTTCTTCCTCTTCTTTAATATCATGTGGGTTCATGTTCTATTACTAATTGCAGCGATTTGGAGTAATTTGGAACCGGAAAAGATGAAATTAAATCAAATGGTCGGCTGGGTGGGGAGTGAGCTGAGTTTATATAGGTATTGCCGACAAACTGTGCAACAAAATATCTCAGAAACCTTAAGTCGGTGGAGGCTGGTAACAGTATCATTCTTTGCTGCGCCATTTTCCCGTTCCAAGACGCGGTTGTTTGTTTTACCGGTATTAATAAGGAATTGAAACAGAATAAAACCCTCAAAAAATGAAAAAAATAGGCTAAGCTTTGGTTAAGGTCTAGTATTATCATTTATCGTCAATGGCTGGTCAGGAGATTTGGGGTGGCGCGTGTGGGGACATTTTTTCCTGAATAAGAGAGCGACGCGCCTGATATTTTTCAGGTTGTAGGTGGAAGAATCGGATTTGGGATGGAAAAGTTGGATTTTGCACTTTGGGAAAAAATTTGTTAAGATTTATATTTCCCTCCACTGAACTTTTGTTTCATTAATAATTGTTTTGTTTAGTTTGGTACTAGTACAATCTTCCTTACTACCTAAAAATGTATGGATCTTAGTACTATTATATGTTTTTTAAGAAGAAATCACCGTTTCAAAAACGAAATTGTTTAAATATTATTGTTAATCAGTCATTATTTGAAATGTTCATTAAATATTTGAATTTACTAGTAAATTACATTGAATTTAAATTGGTCTTTTTACCATATAAAATATGAATTAAAGTTTTATAAATCATACTATATTCCCTTCATAGACTTAAGTAGACATAATCATTTAACTAGTTTTTTATTTTTTAAAAAATGTCCGTGTAATTATTAACTTTGTAGAAATTGGTAGGTAGGATATTAGTATAGTTCAATGACTTTTGAACTATTGAAGGAAAAATCATGACAAACATTTGTGTAATAAATAGTTCTTTTTTAATAACACTATAAACCTTTTCTATAATTCATGTGCATTTCTAAATATATAAAAGATTAGGGATCTATTAGTAATGTATCTACAAAATTATGTGTAATTTACCCGGGGGCTGAATTGACGTGTTTTCGGCCAATAGGATTGCAGATTTTGTAGATATGGGAAGATGGACTAGATCTTGCCTTCTAATTTGGGTGCTGATGGGCCCAATTTACAGATCTCGCATATATAAACAACTCAAACACAAACTTCTAAATTAAGTAAATTATTTGACATTTGTACTGTAGCAGTCAAAATTGTTACTCGTGATATCACGTGCGCTTACCACGAGCGGCGAATCCCTTCCGAATCTGCCTTTTTATCCCTTTCCACAACACTCACGCCAAGTGGCAATGGTGATCTTCGAGCTCCAAAGGAAAGAAAACCATGAGTAAAACTTTTACTCCATGATAGTCCAATTCAAACTCCTTCGTTTTCTAAAGTAATTGTCCAATTTAAAATTTTATTTTTAGTACAAAATTTATACTAAAAATAAAAATCAAATCTAAATAATAATTTCGGGACGGAGAAAATATATATTTTGTCCCTTAAAATTTTGGATATCATTCATTTGATGCAAAAGTGTTTAAAAAAACCGAAAAAATGCATAAAAAAGTTCTTGCTATGTAATGGTCACCATCCAATTAGCACATTGACCCTTTGTCATTCAACTTTATGTATAATCATCTTTATCAATGCATTTTATCGCATAAGTGATTAAAATTAAAAACACTTAATGTACTTGTAAAATATATTGAGTCATACTTGTAATTATTTCGGTGTAGGGCGAGAATTAGGGAAGTGATGTTGGTCATTATCCATATTTAAGGATTATTTAAACTAATCAAATAAATGTAGGTATCAATTTGTGAGAAATCAAAAATATAAGCCATTGATAAATATATATTTAATCAGCAAAATTCAAAACTTTTGTTTATTTGTTCATGTGGATCAACTACAAGATAGGTGTAATGGGGAACCCGTTGAGTATCTCACATCGGTGGTGAGAGAGATTTAATATCAATATATAAGACTATGGGCTACTCTCCTCATTGCCAATTGGTTTTGAGGTAGAACCCTATGACTTTTATATGATATCAGAGTCAGTCTGCCAAAAGTCGGACACCAAAGCCTGATGTGATAGAACTAGTAGGTTGAGACGTGAGGCGGTGACTGGACTGACAAGCCCAACCCAAAAACAGACGTTGAGCTTGCGGGAGAATGTTGAGTATCTCACATCGGTGGTGAGAGAGATTTGATATCAACATATGAGACTATGGGTTACTCCCCTCATTGCCAATTGGTTTTGAGGTAGAACCCTATGACTTCTATGTGATATCAGAGTCAGTCCGCCAAAAGTCGGACACCAAAGCCTGATGTGATAGAACTAGTAGGGCTGAGACGTGAGGCAGTGACTGGACTGACAAGCCCAACCCAAAAAGAGACGTTGAGCTTGCGGGAGAGTGTTGAGTATCTCACATCGGTGGTGAGAGAGATTTGATATCAATATATAAGACTATGGGCTACTCCCTCATTGCTAATTGGTTTTGAGATGGAACCCTATGAGCTTCTATATAACCATGTAAAGAATGAGAAGAAAATCATAAGTGTGAAACTACATGATGAAAGCATAATAGATGGATTCATGTAAAGAGAATTCATAACTTCTTTTTTTTTTTTTTGAAAATAGTACCCGTATTAATTTATGCTTAGATTTTAGTTCATACATTGCACGAGGGAGTAGGCCATAATTAGCATGCAAAGCTTACAGGAAGATCACCTCTTATATTAATGAGGAAAAAATCATGGAGAATATCATATGCCTGCATAACTCACATCTTTGCAAAGAAAAAAGAAACTCTCTTGTTCGTGGTCTTTGTATGTGCTACTGTCGCAATCGCGACAACTCCACCTCCCTCATCCTCAGCTCGTCCGAATTTCAATGTATCAATTCCAATATCAGAAGTTAAGGTTATCGTAACATCAACGTCACCGGAGGACAATCAAGATCTGTTGCTATAATGCTACACTCCACCGGGTCCAGTTTATAAATTTTCACTTTTAGTTCAATTTGTACTAAAAATAAAAATCTAAACTGAACAATAGGACTAAGGGAGTAGCAAGGGTGATAACGTCAGCTCCCACACCCTCCACCCCGGGAATCCTACTTATGGATATCCCGCGCCCCATTTTGGACGAACACAAAGTTCTACTGCAACTTCAGCCGCAGCCAGTTGGACACGACATTTTGCTGTTTATGACAACAGGATCGGCCAAAAGAAGTATTGCGGTGGTCATTAGAATTATGTCATCTTTTACTGCTACTAGATTGTGAAATGATATGGATTTTACCTGGATAAGATTTATAATTCCAACCCTTCAGCAAACAACAAGGTGAATTGGTGGGTTCCGAAATGAACCTCTACACATGTTAGTCGGGTAATAATATCCGAGACACATGCCGTAGCTAGTAGGGTTGCCGCATCTCTGCAGTTGTAAATACAAAATTTTTTAATGAAATTCATGTCTAGTGCGGCTTTAAAAAATAAAAAATAAAAAACCTGGAAGGAGGTTGGTTGCCACGGGGAAGGAAGGCAGCTCGCACACCCTCCAGCCGGGGAATCCTACTATATTGGAAATCTCGCGCTCCATTTTGGACGAACACAAAGTTCTACCGCAACTTCAAGCACAGTAGCTTGACACCACATTTTGCCGTTTACGACAACATGATCGGCCAAGAGAACTACTGCGGTGATTATTGGAATACAGTCAATAATGAACTAGAGACAATTTGTATATGATTTCATAACTATCTTCTTGGATGTTGTATATTCTCCCATTTGATTTGATATGCGTACCATTTACCCTGCTTCTTGTTCTCCTTATTGGGACACAAAAGTAGTACTGAATATTGTTGTTGAAAATGATGATGGAATCCTAAATAGAACCAATAAACATTTTGTTGTTTGTTTTTTCTTTAGAATTGTTTTGCTTCTTTGATTTCTGGTTTTTTGAGATGATACACATAATTTTGATAGATACGCATAAACATAATAAGAACTTAACACGATAAGAACATATTCTCATTTGTGAGATTGGAGAGGAAATTCATTCTACTAACTTTTAGTTTGCTCGTCGGAGTGTTAATTTTTGTCTTGTAAGTCTTATACCGATTTTGCAAATGTAGAGGCTTACTTTTTTATTTTTTTATTTTTTTGTAACTCTTTGTTTTATTTTTTGAGATTGATGAGCAAACTCATTCTACTAACTTCTAATTTGCTAGTCACAGTGCTAATTTTTGTCTTGTAGGTCTTGTACCGACTTTGTTAATGTAGAGGCTTACTTTTTTATTACTTTTTTGTAACTCTTTGTTTTATTTTTTTATCCAATGCGATTAGAACTTTAAAAAAAAAAAAAACTTATTAGCTTGATTGTGAAGGACTTCAGTTGTCATTTCAATCCATCTTCTAGTAAAATCTACTACGATAGACAGCATTATAGCTGCTCCAACAGCAGTAATCTAGTAATGTCACTTACAACTTTGACCCCCTCGCATTCTTCTAATTCCATTTTAACCCCTGGCCATGACCTCCACAGCCCACAAGAATGAAAATCTCAAAATAATTACATGGCCGTAATGAATCCAATAGGCTGGCTTAGTTGTAATCAAATGGATCTCCAAGGTCTGACTGACTAGCTCCAAGGGTTTTTATAAAGGAGAAAGTTATCTTTGACTAATTGATTAAGGATAATCAATGTGATAAGATTGGTTATCATGCGCCACATTTATTTTAGTTATTATCACTCAGAAACCGTTAAAAAAGGAATTACTCATGGATTATTTGATAAAATCAAAGGGGTTCAGCATAAGGTTTTGTTAGTTTGTAACTTATGCCGTTTTGCAGTCAATACCATTAATCGAGTATTCAATACCAACTACGGATGAAAAGGAATAGTTTTGGATACCATAAGCCTTTTAAAAAGAAAATTACAGGTACTTCAGCGTCCTAAACCTAAAATATATGTACATTTTTTCTGTTTATTACACCAGAAGAGAAAAAAAAAAAAAAAAAAAAAAAGAATCGATACCAAGAGTAACCATCACCATTTACCATGTCCATGATATGATTTTACATTCCTTTAAAAATTGAATACGAGTAACCATCATAACAAAGAAACAATTACCCGTTCATTATTGCCTCTAATCAGTCTTAATTGCTTCCAAATTTTTCCATAAATTGAGCCCTTACCATGCTCCTAAATTCCATCTCACAGTAGGCCAGACTATTCATTCGCCACTTGAACTATACTAAATTCATTTTCCTTTCTTTGACCATAACTTTCCAAAACTTTTAGAGTTCTTATCAATTGCGCCACGATCATATACAAATCTTCTTTCCATTTTCATTATAGCAAAATGGCTTTCATGGGTGGTGAATTAGAAAGATTCATATTGTGGGTTGTGTTGTTGGCTGCAATGGTGATGTTAAGTCTTGAAAATGAGGTTTCTGGAAAAACCCAAGAAGTTCCATGTTACTTCATTTTTGGTGATTCTCTTGTAGACAATGGCAACAACAATAACATCAATTCTTTGGCGAAGGCTAATTACTTGCCTTACGGGATTGATTACCCCGGTGGATCAAGTGGGAGGTTCACAAATGGGAAAATTACCACTGATGTTGTTGCTGAGCTTTTGGGCTTTGAGAATCCAATTCCACCCTATGCAGAAGCCAGAGGCAGAGTTATACTCAAGGGAGTAAATTACGCATCTGCAGCCGCCGGAATTAGAAATGAAACTGGCCGACAATTGGTACGCTACGTGTATTATACTATCTCTGTTCTAGAAAAAAAAAACGATATTGAGTTCAAATTTTAAAATTTAATATAATTTTATTATTTTTTTGGATAGAGAGAATATCAAATCAAAATATTCAAAAATTCATTCTGTTTTTAGTTCATCGTTTTGCTAAGCTACCTATATGATTGAATTTTTGTGTAGGGTGAAAGGAGCAGTTTTAGTGCTCAAGTAAACAATTATAAGCACACAGTGTCACAGATGATACGGATACTAGGAGACGACGAATCTGCTTACAAACATCTGAGCAAGTGTATATTTTCAGTGAGTGTTGGGAGTAACGATTACCTTAACAACTATTTCATGCCTCTTTACTACTCTAGTAGTGCTCAATTTACACCTGAAGAATATGCTCAAGTTCTCATTGATGAATATTCCCATCAAATCAGGGTAAGCTAACAGCTTTTGCATTATTTATTATCATCAATCATTAACATAATTTTTTTTTTTTTTTGGGGTGCGCGGATTAATGTTATTGTAAATTGTTATTTCAGACACTCTATAGATTTGGAGCAAGGAAATTTGTATTGATCGGAGTGGGTCAAATTGGATGTACTCCGAGTGCATTGGCTCAAAACAGTCCCGACGGCATTACTTGTGTATCCAGGATTAATTTGGCCAATCAAATGTTCAATCGGAGACTCAAGACCTTAGTGCACGAATTCAACAACTACAAAAACCATGCAAAATTTATCTACATCGATGCTTATTCCATATTCCAGGATTTAATCAACAACCCATTAGCCTTTGGTAATCCCTCTTCTTTCCATGACCTCAAATTTATGCCATTTATCGTAAAAGTCAATCAAACCTTGTTAATTATATAATGGCATTAATATTGTATAAATCATGGAATTGTTTTGTTTGTAGGGTTTAGGGTGACAAATGCAGGGTGTTGTGGAATAGGGAGGAATAATGGCCAAATAACATGCTTGCCATTTGAAATGCCATGTCAAAACAGAGATGAGTATTTATTTTGGGACGCTTTTCATCCAAGTGAGGCGGCGAATATCATCGTTGGAAGGAGGTCTTATCGTGCAGAAAAGCCATCAGATGCATATCCGTTTGACATTCATCGACTGGCTCAACTCTAACGTTTTTTCGGTGCAATTTTTGTTTAATTTTTTGGTAGAAAGCTCAACTCTAACGTTGATAGCATTTTGACCTGTAAAAAATAATGAGAGTCGGTTCCTGATAATTACCGATTTGACTAAATTGTCCTTTAGGGTTTAAAACGACAAGTTTTGAAATATTATCAAAAATATCATTTTACTTAGAGCCATCCGTATTGACTCGTACGAGTAGGGAGTTATGTAATCTTCATTTGACTCGTATATGAGTTGTTGACAATGATAATTTCATCATTATTTATTGTGACAGTCGTACGAATTTATTTGGTGCTTAACAAACCTTTTGGTTATAACAATTAGTATAATAAATGGCATAAATGACGCTCGTAGATGAAACCCGATCTTGTTATAAAAGAAATCGATACTGTTATGCATTTTTTGTGAGACTTGAACTCGTGTAACTTAAGTTGATCTTTAAATCAGTTATTCCAAGAAAAAAAAATATTTTTCCCCAGCTTTTTACTGCTTTTTTAATTTAATAATTTGTTCATTGACTTGTGTCAATAACTTCTTATTACTCTGTTTCTTTTTTCCTTTTTTCCTTTTGAGTCTAAAACAACAAAAGAAAGGGAAAAAATATGGGCTTGTTTGGTATTCACCATTGCTTCAACCAAAAAAATTAAAATAAAAATACAAATGCACCAATGCACAATTGCACATGAAGAAAATATCCACTAGTATAAGTAAAGACCATACAGTGAAGCAAATGCACAATAAGTCCAAACTCCAAGCCGGCCCAACCTAACCAGCCCCACCACCATACCCATCATTATAACCCAAACTGACCCCGAGCCTTTTTTTTTTTTTACAGTTAAAAAAGCCCTACGAAATCCGTCCCCCAATCACCGCCCCGCCCGGGCTATTTTACTCCTCCTCCACCCCCAATCTCCACCGGATTTCACACACTTCACGCACTAATCCGGCTTCTTCCGCCCCCTTCTCTACCTGCTCCCCTCGCAATTAAAATCAATAAAACCATTCTCCCTCTTGTAATTTTTGTTAATTGTAAAAGGCACAGCTGCCGGAAGGAGGAATCCGGTTTCTGCCGGATTAAATTAGCGCGCCAGATTTCAGCTGATAGGCGTTAGAATTAGGTTTTTTTTTTTTTCACTTGTTTGTACGATTTTACATATACTAATTTTTTTGTTGAGTCGATAGATTTTTGATTCCATGTGTAAAATAGGAAACATGATTAGGTTTAGAGTCTCGTAAATTCCTGTTGTTGTAATATTGGCGTTTTGGTTGAAGTGTAAATGGATATGGAGAGCTCGCGTAGACCGTTTGATAGATCGCGAGAACCAGGGTTGAAGAAACCTAGGTTAATCGAAGACCCTATCGGACTGGATCGCAGCTCAAATGGCCGGGCCACCAGCTTTATTCAGCGTTCTGGACCTGCCAGCTCCGGCTCGGCAGCTTCTTCCAGATTTACCTCACCGGACGACTCTGTGCGAGGACCTTATCCGCATAATCAATTACAGCAGCAGCAACAGATTTTGGAGCTCGTGACTCAGTACAGGGGTGCCTTATCTGAACTCACTTTCAACTCCAAGCCGATAATAACCAACTTAACTATTATTGCCGGGGAAAATCTGCATGCGGCAAAGGCCATTGCCAACACCGTCTGTGTGAATATCCTCGAGGTGATTCCAAAATTTAAAATTTATAACACTATCACCTCACTGATGCTATTGTAGTACTGTTGTTATTCCTGACCGTGCCTTAGCTGTTTGGAATGTGTAGGGAAATTAGTTTAACTAGGTAAACGTTCTTCTAAATTATGCTTAGAATAGTATATAAGTTATATAAGAATACAGGAGGGGAGGATTGTAAATGAGTAAGTGATTAATGGATGAGTCGCATTTCGGAGCAGCTTTTTGAATTTTAAAATTTTTATTTTTCCCTGGTCGGAGTTTAAATTCATTGTGTAGCGCTGAATTTTTTCCATAGCATCTTTATGGTTTTGCGATCTAATTAGTTTTGAATGTCACAATGGGGTCTTCCAGCGCCACATCCACTAGCACTGCTTTAGTGATGACTTAAATTTATTGGTTATTACGTGCAATGAGTATTACAAGCAAATTACATTATTAATATCCAAATTCTACAGGTTGAAAATCAGTTTCTTTATAGACTTACCATGAGACGCGCATTGCTAATTTATTTTTCTTGATCTTTCTAGTGACATTGGGCTTACAGCCATAGTAGTACGTCTCTTTATGGTAATAATTGTTGACCATTCTCCTATATGGGGAAGGTCTTGTGAGTTTAATATCGGGATTTTATATTTATATGCTTACTTCTTACATCAGTAAGTCATGGGTAAATAAATGCCCATTATTGCTGGCTCTGATTTTTAGAACTTAGAACAATCTTTAGTTGTTGTTAATGGGTTTTGGATGTTGCATCTGGATAGCAGACTACTATGTGTATTCCTACCTATGGTTATATTGTTACACTCTGTTCTGAAGAGAAAATTAAAGAATGTGGATGGACAGTTTTGAGTTGGTTTTGAACTGCTAACTGCTGGATGCTTGGTATACATGCTGGAAAGATTGCAGAACGACTCGTCACCCACTTGCCTCTGCCCCCCCTGAATTACTCATCTTATTGCAGCTGTTTTCAGAGTTTTTGCATTTGCTGATAGGTTAAGTTTATATGGATATACATTCCTCTAATAAACTTAATAATTTACAGGTTCCTAGCGATCAAAAGCTGCCATCACTTTATCTCTTAGACAGTATAGTGAAGAATATCGGAAAGGACTACATAAAATACTTCGCAGCAAGACTACCTGAGGTGAGATTCCTCGCCATTTGCATGTTTATTCACTTCATCGTCTCGTCTTTCGATTTCATCAGCAACTACGTTCCCTTCGAAATTATTCACGTGGATAATCCACCATTACATTGATAACTTTGACAACTTGATGATGAAGGCTAGACCTAGGAGATAGCAAATGTAAGAAACCATTTCTTTATAAGGTGGTTTGGACGCGTATGGTGGGAGACATTTAGATGCCCCAGTAAGCTTGTGGAGGAGAGAAAATTTATTGACTCAAATTTACAGGGTTAAGGAAAGACCAAAAATTATCTGGAAATGAAATTGTAAAGTACAAGTTCTATATGTGAATCGAAATTAATATATCTGTTTTGACTGAGCTTGATGGTGAGATGTAATTCAGATAACCCGCCCCATGTAGTAGTATGAAGGCTGAGTTTGCTATATGTTGTGCTGAAGCTTTGGTGTTTTGTTGTGCTTCTAGGTTTTCTGCAAGGCATATAAGCAGGTTGAACCCTCCATTCATCAAGGCATGAGGCATCTCTTTGGTACTTGGAAAGGAGTTTTCCCATCTGAGACGCTGCAAATGATTGCTCAAGAACTTGGCTTTGTGCCTGTGGCTAATGGTTCATCTCGCCCTGAGGCACCTGCTCGTCCTGCGCATGGCATCCATGTAAACCCCAAGTATCTGGAGGCAAGGCAACGTATCCAACAGTCTACTAGGGTGAGAGACTCGTTTTAGTTGGATTGCTATTTTTAGCAGGAAACAGTTTCAATATTTCCATGATATAAACCCACTGTACATGACATGTGACTTTTGCTTAGAATTCTTTTTGTATATATTTTCTTTTCTTTGGGTGTGGGGGTGGGTTGCACTGTTGAAGTGTCGTATACCTGAACTTCCTTTTGAATTCTGTTTTGTGGTAAGGCAAAAATTTCTGTCAGTGATACAAGCGGAAACCTGGCAAACTTGTCTGAGGATATGGAAAGATTTGAAAGAGCTTCGAGTGCTGGATCGGGAAGACCTTGGGCTGATCCTCCTGCTAAGGTCCGTGCATAAGTGACTTTTTATGTGTTCATTTTATAATACTTTTTTGTAACTTTATGTGACTGTGCCAAACTCTCAGTATCCTCAAAGACAACACCTAGGTGATGTGATTCAGGGGGAAAATGTAAGTGCTGCATTCGAAGACTCTGAATATGATTCTATGATTTCAAAGCAATCTGGCCTGTTGAGCGGAAGGGCAGGTGATAAACCGAAGGCACAAGGAGTTAACCCTTGGTTTGAATCTGGTGGTGTCATGCCAACAATATCAGAACAAAAGAATGGTTTTGATCTCAAACATGGGTACTCAGCCTTAAGATCTTCTGCTTCTGATGCAAATTTGCTACCCAGACACAGGTTACCTATTAAAAGCACCAGTGAGATGACGAAGAGCTGGAAGAACTCCGAGGAAGAGGAGTATATGTGGGATGATATCAACTCAAGATTGACTGATCAGGGTGCAACCAGTGGCTCAGTCAGGGAGCGTTGGACACCTGATGATTCAGAGAGAAATGTGAGTAATGACACTTAATTTGAATTTTAATAATTTCCCTTGACTTGCTTATTTTGTCTTTATGTTTGTCTTTCCTGCAATTATATGTCCAAAAGCTATCTATATCACTCAGTTCTATGGATCTGATTTCGCATATATTACCAGTAATTTACTTGTGAGCATGGCACGGTGTCAATAAACTTGCAGCTTCACAAACATTTATGGGTCTGATTTGGCCTATATTACCGGTAGATGTGAGCATGACAGTATCAAGAGACTTACTGTTTCATACGATTATGACGACCCCTTTCTGCACCCATGACCCTGTGGGATTATTAGTTGTTTACAACCTAGATCCTTGGAAATGGTATTGCATACGGGTTGAGACTTAACTAAACAATTAGTTCTGTTGAGGTTTAACTCATAGTACTGTATAGTTGAGGAATGTTCTTGTGAATTTTCTGAAAATTTTTCCCCATTTGCAGAGTGAAGCTTCAATCGATTCTCTATCTACCGAACATAAAAGCCTAGCGAATTCTGGACAGCGAATGACATCGTGGTCTCAGGAACCGCCCATGTCAGAGGGAATTAGCTCTTTGATATCTTCCCGTGATATGCTGAGTAACTCTGGAAGCTATCCACTTGCTCTCAGCGGGTTGCCAAAAACTTCTAATGCAGGTAGGACAGCTTTCCCGTCAAAGGTGGGGCCTGGGACTACAGGCGCCAGTCGAGGCTATCTCATCTCGAATGCCTCACTAGGAGCCACGGGATCTGTAGGACAACAACGTCAGACTCTTGGAGCTTCGTCACCCTCTGCGCAGTCGCCAATGCACCAAGGAGCTTCCTCTCCATCCATTTTACCTGATAGAGAAAGAAAACAATCGTTTCCTCTTTCAGATCCTAGAGTCTCTCAACTTTTAGGGCGGATTAATACTGTTCCCCGCTCTCAGGTTACTCATGGTTCACTGCCATCAAAATCTGAAAATTTCCATCCTCCAAATTCACAAAGACTGCCACCGAATTCTCGTCCCTTGGCTTCTTTAGCACATTCTCCTCGATTGATGCATGATACAGAATCCTCAGCGGTGGAGTCATCACGTAAATTCCCTGTTCAACCCTTGCCTCAAATTTCAGGTTCTGGCAACTCATCTGAAAATTCGTTGTCAGATGATGCAAATCCTACCGTCACAAAATCTTCTGGTCAATCAAGCACAAGTAGTCTGTTGGCTGCCGTAATGAAGAGTGGAATAATTGGTACTCATGTTACTAGTAGCTTGCCTCAGGTTTCTCCAGCTCTGTCATCTCAGGATTCGAAGCAGCATTCTCTACCTAGTCGCCTTCCTTTGAAACCTTCCGTTTCACCTGTTTTGAGTCAGCCATCAATTGGGAAAACGTCTTCAAGATATTCTCAGAAGAATGTTGATCAGTTATCCCTGCCTCGTAACGTGCCCCCCTCCTCTGCTGTAGGTAGTACCTCATCACAGTCCTTGAATGCTGCTGATGCAGTCTCTGCTCCAGTGTCTACTCTTCTGAGCTCACTTGTTCAAAGGGGATTAATATCTGCATCTAAGAAGGAGTCCGCTTCTGCTACTGTAGATGAAATTTCTCCACCTCAGGACCTTGGTGTTGAAATTACAAGTGCTTTGTCTAAAGTAGATCCTACTCCAGCTTCATTGCCGCTTTCTTCCTCATCTACCTCTGAAGAGCTGCACCTTACTCATTCTATATCCGAGTCCCAAGTTCAGCGCTCCCAGTCAAGGAAAGCAGAGATACACAATCTCATCGGTTTCCAGTTTAAGCCAGACGTTCTTCGGGAATTCCATCCCGAAGTGGTCAGTGAACTCCTTGAGGACCTCCCTTACAAGTGCGGCATGTGTGGCCTCAGGCTAAGAATTGAAGAACGGTTTGACAGACACTTGGAATGGCACGCTTTGCGTGAAAAAAATAAAAATAGTTTGAAAAGGGAATCAAGGGAATGGTACTTGGATTCAGCTGAATGGATAAAAAGAAATGCTGATGTCTGTTCTATTGCAGAACCAGTAGGTCCTATGGAAGATACAAACAAGGCCTCTGAATGCAAAGAACAGATGGTTCCTGCTGATGAAAACCAATGTTTATGTATTTTATGTGGTGAGATTTTTGAAGATTTTTACTGTGAAGAAAGTAAGGAATGGATGTTCAAAGGAGCTGTGTATTTTCCTTTACCATGTTCTGATAGTAACTCTGGAAGTACAAGTGATGGTGCATCTCCTGGTTACATAGTCCACGAGAGCTGTGTATCAGAAAATTCTGCTCTTGAATTGGAATTTCCAATGGATATGCAATAGTAAGTTCTAATGTTTAATGTGAAATGCTTGTCAAACTGGTCTTTTATGTTACTGCAAGTTGTACCATCTGATAATTAGTTAAATGTTTAAGAGATTAAACTTTAATACTATTTGTTTTCTGAGTTTTGGTTAATCATGTTTCATTTTGCATCTTCAATGATGTTACTTCTTTAGTTTTGGGTTTAGGGGGATGGTGGGGTTGTTAGATTTGTTCAAGGCACATTTTACATTGTCTGTATGTTTTCTTGAGCTCTGATAGCTAGTTTTGCGTGAAACGTCACTTACTGATATTGTTACTGAATCCCCACATAGAGCATACTGTAGTTACTTGTTTGATCATCACACATTCGCACTCAATTGCCCTTCCTCATTCCACTTGTCTTATTGATTAAGTTGCTTTCAAATACTTCGCAAGCTAGTCCACCTACAGCTTTGTGATTTTCTGCCTTGTGTGTGATTTATGATCAGGAAAAAGTCCAAATGGACTGAGTTGGAAATTCTGATAGTTGAACAGCCCTGTTGTATGGTAAGGTGGGCAGACAAATTGTGTTGTTCACCAGCTAGGCAAACACACAGAACAAGAAGCCCTGGGTGGCCTGTAAGTGCTAAGAAGGTTGAAAGTCTGCCTGCTTGGGGTTGTACGATTTTGATTTTGTTTTTGTTCTTCAGTTGAAAATGAATAGGAATATAAAGTGGCAGATCAATCTGGTTCTTATGTCTTTTATGGCTTTTACTTGTCTATTTGGTAAACCCAACCCCCCACCCCTTTCATACAAAATTATTGCTTATTTTCGGAATATGATGCATGCAGCACATTGTTAACAAAATTATTCTGATGCGTGTCCTTCAAAAGTCAAGCTTGGGGAGCGGTGCAAATCTCTAAGCATTTGTGTCGAAATTAGGAACTTTGAACGTTTGTTGTGATCGACTACTCTTTGTTCCTTCCTTTCATCTCTCGCTCTCTCTGAGTGCTTGTTTCCTCGATATAAATTTTTAATGGTTTTTAGATTTCGGACTCCACTCTTTAAATTCGGCACGATATTAATGATGATTGCTATCGAGTTGTGCATGGGTATTAGCCTATTAGGCATTTTGGAAGCTGTGCAAATCTCTAAGCATTTGTGTTGAAATTAGGTATAATTTGAACGTTTGTTGTGATCAACTACTTTTTGTTCCTTCCTTTCATCTCTCGCTCCCTCTGAATAGCTTGTTTACGCGATGTAAATTTTTAATGGTTTCTAAATTTCGGACTCAACTCCTTAAATTCGGCACGATATCAATGATGATTGCTATTGTGTCGAAATCTCTAAGCATGGGTATTAGGCATTTTGGGAGCTGTGCAAATCTCTAAGCATTTGTGTGGAAATTAGGTACTTCGAACGTTGGTTGAGATCAACTACTTTTTGTTCCTCCCTTTCTTCTCTCATTCTCTCTGAGTAGCTTGTTTCGGCGATGTAAATTTTTAATGTTGTTGGCTTTTTAGATTATGGACTCAACTCCTTAAATTCGGGGAGTCATCATATGTACGGCAACTCCTGAAATTATCTGTTTTCTTTCATGGCTAGTTTGTTATTCCAAATGCAGGCATCCAATTATAATGTGTTTTCTGTAGTGGAAGATTTGAATATGTCATGGAACTGTTCAAGTTTTCCCCATGATACCATGTATTCTTGGAGATGCTTTTTGGGGTGTCTTGTTACCATATGGTCTTCTAGAAGCTAGATTCATAGGGAAAGGGATGACAAATCGAAAGGGCTTGAATTTTGCAAGAGATTAAAAGATATTCACAAAGTAAAATGCCAACTGAATTTACACAGGAAACTTAACACACTACATTACTGAACACCATATTACAAATTGTATATGAAAGGGGTACTTTTGTAACAATACCCCACTAATAGGGACTACGTATGTTCCATGGTTCTATCCGAATATATTCTGGTTTGGGGGCTTATGACATTTTGAATAAATAAACCAACTTAAATCTGCCAAAAGTGTCGGAAGGGTTGAGCTTTTAGTGGGTTTAGGGTGAGCCCTTAGCCTTGGTAGGCTTATGGCGTTGGGTGTAGATATAGTCCAAGTGTGCATCAGCCATCATCCTTCTGTTGACGCAGTCTGGGTCATTTCCGCTGCATTCCTCAGATCCCATCAACTGCATGCATAAATAACGAATCTTCAACCCCAAACCCAAAGTACATATATATTAATTATGTTAAGACAATTGACCCGCCCCCCAAGGAAGAAGTTATTGGAAGTCATATTTTATGACCATTGACGCTTACTGTATCAATTTTTACCATCCTAGAAGGCCTTTAAAAAAAACAAGATGAAAATCAAATTACATATTCTTACCGCGGCAATGTTGTCGTCCTCCTCCGCGGTCGCCATGGATGAAGTAAACGAACCTGCTGCACACAGAAATTGGGCATGAATGTTTTTCCAATCAATCACTAGCTAATTTAACTAACTTGCTAAAATAAATCATCTATGGACTGATAATTAAGGGCAGTAAGTAGACGGAGAACTAAATTTTTACTTTCTTCCAGTGTTGTTTACAAATAGAACTTCATATAACAGTAATCCGTATCAGAAAAGAAAGAATTTTAACTGGAAAATCAGAGAAATGGATACCTTGATTATTATCGTCCTGGAGAATTCGGGCTGAAGCTGAGTGGGAGATGAGGAGAAACATGAGAACCGAAGCCAGAATTAACAAACAACCTGCCTGTTTCATTTCTTGATTTCTTAGAAAACAAAACAAACAAACTGAAAGGAGGAGAAGAAGATGAACAATCAAGTACTCCACTCCACAAATTAAGGCAAAACAGCTAGCTTGGTTGCTGTGAAGAGCTTGTAACTTATAAGGGGTGGAATAAATCAGTGTGCATGTGGTGGGAATAATAATAATATTATGGGGATCCAACAAATTTATATATAGGTTCAACTTCAAAACAAAATAAAAAAAGGGTGAACAACCGTGTTCTTCTTTTTTGAGGAAAAAGACCGACTAAAAAGCGGCCTAAGAAACAATACAGAGAAGAAATACAAAAGAACGTTGTCAAACCAAAGTAGTGTTGTCGTTCCAGAAACGTATTAAAAAAAAAAGTCCATTTCTGCTTTATAAAGGTGGAGGAGGGTCTCCCTCATTTCATTACCCTTTTATTTTTGTTGTTTTTATTCCCACTAAAAAGAAAAAAAATCACTTCTTTCATCTCTGTGTGGTGTTTGGCATGTGATCAAAGGAAAGTCAGTCCGGAATCTATTCTCTCTCTAATCTCTATAGTTTTTGGATCGTCGTTATTCGTTTGGGATTCAACGTGGTCCCTGTTTAGTTTATTGTCGTCTTTCATCGGTATGGCTCCTAGTTCGACATGCCTTTGGAATAACCACATTTCATTTCGGTTGGTGTAAATTAATTGGAAAAAATTTGTTTATAAACAAACAATTACGTACATATTATAGTATTACACATTTCAATCCAAATAAATATCTAGACGTTACAAGATTAAAAACTTTTATTTTCAAATTTTTTAGTAAGTTTTTTTAAAAAAAACATATAATTATAGAGTATTTATGGTCATAATAGTATACGTAAGTTTTGAGTGAAGGGAGTGTAATTTTATTCCTTTTCTGGTGATTTGGCTATTTGTTTCATTTTTTTCATGGTTTTTTTAAAATAATATAATAATAATTGTTTCATTACAGCATATTTTTTTACATTTTCAATACATTTTTTTACATTCACAATACAAAAAACACACATTAAAAAAATGAAACAATCATAAAGAAAAAAAATCCAATCCTGGAATGGTCAACTGGTCAAAGCATTAGACTAATGGTGACCCATGGTGGACAGCTGTTTTCCATGTCAACTTTTTATAATTTTGCATCAATTTCAAGGCATTAGGATAAAATTAAGATTGGTAATGTCACTGCAAAAACCGACACACGTGTCACTTTTTTCCCACTGCCAATAAATTCTTTCTTCAACCAAAAAAATATCTCAAAATTATTTCAGTTTGGATTTTTACTTTTAATTTAATTTATATTAAAAATTATATATATACTGGATAATTATTTCGAGTCGTATTAAATATTACTCCTTCCGTTCTAAAATAAGTGTCATTCTAAAGTTTGCACATAATTTAAGAAAACATTAAATAGGATAACTAAATTACTAGAATATTCTCAACCAACCCCATTAAAATAAATGTTCACCAATAATATTATTTCTTTTAAGGGTATGTTTGAAAATTTTTGACAAAAAATACATTGGAATCCGAAAACAACATTTATTTTGGAATTTCTCCATTTTGCCAAAACGACATTTATTTTGGAATAAAGGGAGTATTTTATTTGGAAGAAATTTATCTATTCTTAATGAAAAACCCGATAGTCAAAATCCTATTTTCAATACTGCCTTAAACCATTACTTTTTCTTTTCAGTTATCCATTTCATCATAGTGATTTCAATTCGACGAACAATGAATCTCTTTGATTGACTGTAAAAGTCAATGTCATTCTATTTACTATACACAATTTAAGAAACACTTAAATGATATATATAAATTATAAAAATATCATCAACTAATATCATTAAAATAAATACTTGCCAAGTACTAATAATATCATTTCTTTTGAGGGTAAATTTGAAAGTTTAGGACGAAAAGTGCATTGGAATAAAAAACAGTATATTTTTTATTTTATTAAAACGACACATATTTTGGAAAGGGAGTAAAATATATGCAACCCTTCATCAACATTAATTGGAAAAAGAAAATTGAGGGTCGTTTTCAAAAACTATAAAACAAGGATTTGACTTTTGGACCGAAGAAATACCATTCACATTTGAGTGGTGGGCATTAGGCAACGCATGCAAACTATTTGATGCCCTAATGCTGCTGGGGAGGCGTTTAAAGAATATCGGGAGGTTTGACTTTATGGAGCCATGCCTAACTCGCGTACGTTTGTCAAATAGTAGCCAATGGGGCTCTTTTATATATAGTGCCCTCCAGCACACGCACACACTAGTAGCCATGCCGACCGACCAACATCTCAACAGTATCGATTTCTTTTATTATTACTATATGTTTGTAATAATAATAGTAATATTCATCATTCCATCATCATTCTCGACAGAAACTGCAATGCTAGCCTGTTCCTCTGTGATCTAATCTTGGCCGTATCTTTGTTTTTTTTAAAAAAAAAAAAAATTGTTCCTAGGTGTTGGAGATTAAAATTAATACTGACCATATAATTAATGGATCCAATTTGGAACTAATCTAGATGGTCTTTTGGCCTACACAAAAGAGCGACCCGAGATAAGAGAATAGAGGTCAATGACCCTTCACCACTACCAAAATTTTAGCCAGATTGTTAAATAGTTGTTACACAAAATGTAAAATTCGCGGATTGAAAGTAAATGTTCAACTTGTTCTTATTTTTGATCTTTCGACTTCATGAACTCTAATAAGGTTAAGGTGAAAGGATTTAGTAGGATCATATTTATTTGCATACTAACAGGTTGATAACTATAAAATCAAGATTTTTCAACTGATTTATTACTCTCTCGATACTTCCAACTCCTTTATTTCGCATTATGGATGGCATGGACTATATCTGTCACGCGTTGACGTATTTGACGAGAATCCAATCCACAGTAAACTTAGGAATGATTAGTGCTGACTGGAACTTAATTCTAGAATTCGAGATTTTTTTCTTTTTTTTTTTTTTTTTTTTTTTTTGAACAGAGATAGAATTTCATTCTCATTTTTTGCTTTCCTCTCTTTGATTTGGTGCTGCATATTTTCATTAATCATACCACTCTAATACACCGCGTTTCAACAAGATGGATATATACCTACCTTGGTCAAAAAGACAAATAATTTGGGGCACACAAACCCACTAGTCCTTTTCGCCTCGTGCGCTAGCTATCAATGGATTTTTATTTATTTTTTTATTTTTATTTTTTTTAAAAAAAAGTAAAATTGTTCGAGAAGTCTCTCAATGTCTAACGAATTCAAATGGAATTATTTGTATGTGTTTCTCATTCAAAATAAGAATCATATTTATTACATAATTTTTAAATAGAGAAAGTCATGTGAAAAAAAAAATGTAGAGCCTTGATGAATGAAGAATATATATATATATATATATATATATATATATATGACGATGCTTGGATATGCGCCGCCGGTTTAACGGTGGAACTCCGGTTAGGGTTTCCCACAAAACAGGACCTCGGGGTCTCCCGAGAGTAGTTTGTTTGGCTATAGATTGCGTACCTGTATTGTGGTATGAGCTACCCTATTTATAGGTATGAGATTACCTGGAATCTTTCTGAATCCAACTAGGTTTCAGGAGTTTGCACCGCCCTAAGAGTCCCGGTTGAACTCTTCTTACCCTTAGCGGGCCGGTCCAGTCTCGGTGATGGATATGGACTCGTCAAGTGCCCCTGCTAAGTGTTAGTGACGTAAATACAAACAACACTTGGCACAAAATAAGTATTACCTGAGACATGCCCGAGAGTGGATAACTACCCTCGTTCGGTTAATTATCAAGCCACATGCCACACATCCTCGATGCAAACGCACAACTCTCGATCTCGGAGGACCGAGAGGAACTGGCGGGTCAGGTCTTGGCCCGGGAAGACGACCCGCTTCCCAATCCCGCCCAAATTTTCAATTGTGCGTTATTAGCGGGCATGTTCCCCAAACGGCAGCCTCAACATCATTACTTCCTTGAAACACGCAATAACTGTCATGTCGTGGTCCATAATTAGAGAAACGTGGGGGAATCAATTTTGTTTTTAAGGAAAAAAACTCTTCCGTCATTTCAACACTTAATCCTTTTCTTTTTTTTGCAAAAACACAAAATCCTCTCCTTTACAAAAGTATTCCAACACCCCGCCCCCTCTGCTCTTCTTTACCAGAGCATCCTAATTTTCTTCCCGGCCGGAATTTTCCAGATTTCACCTGACATACTGCCCCGGCGACGCCGTTTCCAGGGGAGTAGCGATTTGAAGCTTCTGAACGACACTAGGAAGTTATAATTCGAAAGGCGAGTGGTCACGTCCCCCTTCCATAGTAAGTTTCCAGATCTAAATCTCCGATTTATTCCAAGTTTTTGTACCTTTCTGTTGTAGCCAGAGTAGATCCTTTGCCGGAATTATGGTTAGGGATTCCGAAGGAAAAACTGTTTTGGACTTTGTATCCACCATAGATTCGGTGGATAAGGTAGAGAACCTTAGATCCAAGTATGACTTCCCCCCAGCTGTAGAAGCGAGGGCTCTATTAGGAAACGAGAGGGCTAATTCTCCTCCAAGGGGGAGAATTACCGTGTACGATAGATTTATGCATCTAGGGCTTAGATTTCCCCTCTACCCCCTGTTTGAGGAGATTGTTCAACATTATAGGACTCCTCTCGCTCGTTTTACCCCAAATTTAATTACATTTGTATTGGGGTTTGCAAGAGTGTCAGCATGTGAAAGTAAGACCTCGATTGATATTGTGGAGGTATTTCTTCCAAGCAGTTGTGGCTTCGACTTTTTTCCAGGATTGGTACATCGTGAAACGACGCCTTAGAACTGGCGTGAAGAAGATGGTCGAGGCGTATGGCGGTTCTCCAGAATGGAAACCGGACTTTGTGTTTGTAAAGGCGCCTGCGAATTATTGTTTGCCATAGAATCTCCGAGAGACAGAGGGTCTCGGGGCCATAAAAGATGAATGGACCCAAGAGGATGAAGAATGCATCGAGGAGTTCCAGGCAGATGTGGAGAAAATCTTGAAATATTCGAAGGTCGTTAAATGGAACGACGTACAATATTATGTGCCCCCTGTATATGGGAAGGAAAGAGATACGGTCAACATCGAAGGAGCAACCAGAATTACCTTCGAAATCTCTGTTGAAGAAGATCAAGGTACTAATCATTTTCTTTTTCCTCTTTTTTGTTGTTAGGTCATGTCGTCGAGCAATACTGGGTCTCGATTGTTTGATGACGAAGATCCTTTTATAATTGTGAATTCAGATAATGATGTCACTGTTACTGCTGTCCCTCAGAAGAAAAAGAAGAAAAGGATCGTGAAGGTGGGCGATAGGGCAAAATCCAAGAAGGCCAAGACGGACACGCCTTCGAAGGAAACCACACAGCCGGACTGTGCCGGAAGCAGGACCAAGCATAGTTCCTCCTGCGGTCAAAAAAGGCAAGGGCCCTCTCGAGGGTGAAGCGATAATCTTGCCCCCTCAGCT